AACAATGCCATTTACTGAGAAGAACTAATTTTGATTCTTTCTTTCTGTTGAAAAAAATACAGTCGATAGACGGATTTAACAGTTAGTTTTTAAAGTAAACTGACATCCTAAAGAATATGAACAGGAAGGTAGTTGTAATTATATTCTCTATTTGTATAATAGCTTATAAAATCATTAGTCTATCATATACAGCGTTGGTGGGAGACAGAATATAAATATAGTGATGAATAGTATAAATAAATAGGGTGATAGCAAACCTGACCACTTACAAGAGGTATACGTATGTATATAGGTATTCAAACTCTTCATATTTTTAGTTATAACGGTGAAATTTTGTTTGTATGGTTATTAATGTCTCAGAAAAATATAACTTTTACAATAAAATTAATTTTTCCCTCATAGAAAAATATTTGAAGTGAAGCATAGCATGCGCCTACTTTTGGTTGCGCTGTAACTCAATTAAAGCGCTGATTTCCACAACTTTGAAATTTCATTATTTTTTAGATACATTCTCTTATAACTTTTTAACTATAAAATTACAACCAAGAACCTTTGACTACATATACTATATCTTATCTATATATTTTTCCGGTGTTTCTTTTCAAATTGGACGATTCCATAAAAAAAACTTAAAACCCTCAATAAATATTCTGTATATATAATGAAGAGCTTTAATTAAGAAAGTTATAAATATATAATTTTGCTTGCATCGGAAAACTTGGTACATTTCAAAGTGGTCTTCAAAATGAGAAATCAGTCAATTACAATTGATTCATTGATTGATTCAATCAATTATTAGACATTATATAAAACATGTTTTGGCTCTAAAAAATAAAAATAAACTCAAATAAGTATATAATTTTTTTGGAAGTGAAAACCTAGTTTTTAAGACTTACTAGGTGTAAAAATAATAACTCATAATACAAAATTACCAATAAAAATTTCTTTTCAGAAGAAAAATTTACTTAAAGGAATCTGCTATTTTAAAATCTAAGGACAATAGTTGCATTAGCTGCATCTACAGTATATCATTATATTCTCCACGACATGTATGCTACGAAAGTCAATAATCCCTACGAGTTATGTCCGAATACGAAGATTCAGACGATCTAATAATGGTTTTATTTAGTCATTCCGTAAGCAGTAAATCGAGAATCCTAAAAAAAACACTCGAAAGACCTTGGTAAAATTATACATGTTGCATGAAACATTATATAGTGGTGAATAAATGCACAGCTTTTATGACCTCTTTATCCATGTGATTAGTACTATTTTGCAAGGGAATAAACAGTGAGCTTTCCTTCAAGTCTTCAAACTTATGAATAAACCAATAACAACTAGGAGTACAATGCAGTTGTCTGTATGCAATATTGAGCGGAGCTAGCATATTGACCCTGCAATAAACTTAACTGTCTCCTCTGCAGTATCCTAAGTTAATGGTGCATTTGATTCACATAAATGGAGTGCCTATTTGCAGTATCCAAAGCAATGGTACGTCTAGTTAACTTTAATAATATGTCTACTTGCAGTATCCAAACTTATTATTGGTTATATTCGTTTTACAGCAAATTATGCTCAATGATTGTTCAGTAAAAGGCCAGCTGACCATATGAGTATATTAAAATAATCCCCACATGTCAACAACAATCCAATAATAAAATTTTAAAAAATGTAAACATTCCAAGGTAAACATTCTGGTTCAAGAAGTGCAACTTTTCTCTCTTGTAATATCGTTTCTTTGTGTAACATAATTCATTTCTCTCTCCTTTTATTTTGACTTATTTCATTTACCTTTTCCTTTTGTGTTCATTAAATAAACCCTTTTTAATTTCAATCTAAATTCTGTGTACCTACTGTGAGAACATTTGGACATTAATGAAACATATTATCTTCTCAACTAGAGCCAACATTCGACCAGATCTTCTTTCAAGACCTTAACGTCATGAAGTGGTAACATAACTATAGTTCAGAATTAAAAGTTATACCAAAAGTCCAATATTTTCTGTTGTCAAAATTAAATTAATAACCCATATACAGTCCACTTTATTATTTCTACAATAACCTTTTGATTACGCTACATCTTTGGTCCTTCGAGCCGGATTGTTGATTAACCAATTGATTGAACTAATTATGTGGACTTTTGGTGAAGATTTAAAGACGGACATAACCTCATAAACTCTCAATATTGTCGTTCCCGCATATTGTGTACTTTCTCTCTGTACTCTACCTCTATCTCTCTCACTGTCTGGATCACAGTAGCCTAATTCACGTTAGCCTATCTAGGCCTACTCCAATAACTGAAAGACTCTGTGACATTTATATCAATTTTTTAAACATTATACCAATCCTTCAGTGTTTATATTTTTTGTTGATTGGTTCCGAGTTAAGGCCCACAAACTGTTTAATTGAACTAGCCTAATTCATTTTGTTTTATGTAACGAAGTGAAATAACTTTTGTGTCTTGTGTATTTTGACTGTATTTGTGTTCAATGATGGCTCCTGTTAACCTAGCCCCGATTAAGGTTTCTACTTATAAAAGACTAACCAAACAATTCAAAGTTAGGCTTGGAAAAATTCAAGAAAATATAGACTCTATTAATGAAAGTGCTAAAGCCAACAACCTATCCTCTGTGCAAATAAAATCACTTCATAACTATTTAGATGAAATCAGGAAAAAGCGAGACGACTTTGAACTAAATTTCAGGCGCGTTTTAGAACATTGTTCTGACGAAGAACTCGATGGCATTATTCTAAATGATGATGAAAACACTATTGGTGAATTATGTATACATCTTTGTAGTACTATAGAGTCACTAATCCCTATTGACGAACCTCAATCTCCCCGTCAAGAAATGGTGAATGATTCCAACTGTAATGCTTTCATGCAACCTGTCCGCCTACTGCAACTTGACTTGAAAACCTTCTCGGGAAACTCAGCCGAGTGGATTAATTTCATCAATCTTTTTGATAGCGCTGTACACCTCAACACATCTCTGTCTCCAGTATCAAAATTTCAATACCTACTAAGCTGTCTAACTGAAGAACCTCTAAATTTAATTAAAAACTTAAACATCAGTGCATCTAACTACGAAATCGCATACAATTTGTTGCGCGATCGATACCACAATCACAGACGCTTAACTGCTTTACATTTAAATGCCATAATGGATCTTCCCATTGCTACATCTGAAAATACAAAATCAATACGTGAATTTCTAAATCATTTTCTGGAACATACACAATCACTTATTGCTTTAGAAAGTGACATCACTACAAATGACAATCCTTTGCTGTCAGCTCATTTGCTCCGTAGACTTGATAGAAATTTACGGCAAAAACTTGAACATTACCGCTCATTCAAATCATGTGAAACTCATTCGTTACCATCTGTGGACGAAATCATTAAATTTCTCAATGAAGAATGCTCAAACAGTGAAGATGCCAACCTACACTCTTCAACTTTTTGTCACAAGGCTAATTCAAAGTCTGCCCTCACATCTAGTAAAAATTACTCCAAACCAAGCACCCGCTATACTGCACTTGTAAGCTCAGATGATCACTCCACTTCTGTAAAGACATTTCCATCATGCTTTGCCTGTCAACAAACCGATCACAAAATCTACATGTGTAAGGTTTTTGCTAAGAAATCTCCAAACGAGCGTTACAAACTTGTAAAGGAGCAAAATAAATGTATTTCATGTCTTGGCAATCACACACTCAAAGATTGTCGCTCAACAGGCACATGTCTTAAATGTAAACAAAAACACCACACCTTGTTACATTTCGAAAATGTTGTAAAGTTGGTGCAGCCTCCTCCTATAGCCAAACCCTCAAAACCTTCAACTGCTACACCTTCTGTAGTCGCTTCTGCTCAACCAGAAATGTCGCTCTCGATTTCTCAGCCTGCAACTACGGTACTTCTAGGCACCGCTCTCATTAAAATTACCGCTACTAATGGAATCTCTCATGTCTTTCGATGTCTGCTCGACAGTGGAAGTCAACTCAACTTCATGACAGAGAGGGCAGCACAGCTATTAAACGTCTCTCGTCACCGCTCTACTCACACAATTGTGGGAATCTCTGCATCGCAATCCTCGACAAAGGGACATGCACTCCTGGAACTATCCACACTAGGCAGTGAAGTAATTGCTTCAAATCAACCTTTCCATATTCTAGATAGAATTTCCGCTCCTTTGCCGCGTACTCACCTCTCTTTTGAGGTTTACGAACTAGTAAAACCTTTTGTCCTCGCAGATCCGACCTTTCATATTCCTCAGAATATTGACATTCTCATAGGAGGTGCTTTGTTTCCAGAACTTCTTACTCATCAATCCTACCCATTGGGCTCAAACCTTCCATTCGTTATTGGAACACGATTGGGATTTGTGTTAATGGGCAATGCACCAACTTTGTCTAATTCTTCTCCCACCTCATGCCATTCGTCTCTACTATCCACTACAGACGAGTTACATAATACTCTACTTCGCTTTTGGCAACAAGAAGAGGTACCGCAGTGCAATCTTATCTCTGAAAACGATCGCATCGCTGAAGATCACTTCAAATCAACTCACTCCCGCTCTCCAGATGGAACATATGTGGTTCGACTCCCTTTCAAGGACCAACATCAACCACTGGGCACTTAAAAATCTGCTGCTGAACATAGACTTCACTCAATTGAACGAAAGTTTGAATCCAACTCTAATTTCAAGGAATTGTATACACAGTTTATTATGACTGAATATGAACATCTCGGACACATGGTCAAAGCATCCCCTTCCGATCTTTCGCAGCCACACTACTATTTGCCTCATCACGGTGTACTGAAAGAAACCAGTAGTACAACGAAACTTCGTACAGTTTTTGATGGTAGTTGCAAAACCAGTACCGGTGTCTCACTAAATGATATTCTTTTAACCGGTCGCAAACTTCAAATTGACATTTGTGACATTTTGTTGAATTTTCGTTCGCATAATTATGTGTTCAGTTGCGATATAAGGAAAATGTATCGTTGCATTCAAGTTCATCCTGACGACCAGAAGTATCAGTTAATTTTATGGCGTGATCCAAAGACTCAAGAAATCTCCACATACAAATTAACGACAGTTACATACGGTCTAAGCAGTTCACCTTTCCATGCCATCAGAACGTTACATCAACTTGCTGACGACGAAGGAGGGTCGTTCCCAGCAGCAGCCAAAGTTTTACGGGATAATACGTATGTGGATGACATCATCTGTGGAGCTCATACACTCAACGAAGCTAAGCAACTACGAGATCAGCTGATTGAACTTCTTGCACGTGGTGGTTTTGAGCTAAGAAAATGGACATCCAATTGCCCAGAAATACTCCAAGATTTGCCTCAAGATCATCTAGAAACACCAGTCTTTTTGGAAGCCACTAATCACCCTCATTTTGCCATTCTTGGACTACATTGGTCACCCATTTCAGATTGTTTCACTTACAACTTAAGTCTCCCTGATGGTCCTCCTACAAAACGATCAGTGCTGAGCATTATAGCACGCATTTTCGACCCTACCGGATTTTTGTCACCCGTGACCATGTGGGCAAAAACCCTCATGCAAATACTCTGGTCACAGGGTATCCAATGGGATGACACTCTTCCAAATGAACTTGCCGAAAAATGGCACATTTTCGTTGATGAAACCTCTCTCCTTTCAAGTATTAAGATCCCTCGCTCGTTCCATTTCACTACCACATGTTCCTTACAACTCCATGGATTTTCAGATGCCTCCGAAGTAGGATACTCAGCAGTCTTATACTTCCGCTGTGAGTTTTCAACTGGAGAAATCATCACTCGTCAGATTCTCGCAAAAACACGTGTAGCTCCTTTGAAACGTGTTAATCTACCCCGCTTGGAACTATGTGGTGCACACTTACTTGCAAAACTCACAACTTACTGTTGTACAATTTTCAAAGAAAAGATTGACCTTTCTCAAACTAAATTGTGGTGTGATTCATCAGTAACCCTCACTTGGTTACACACCCCATCATATCGACTAAAAACGTATGTTGCCAACAGAGTTGCTCAAGTCCAAGAATTGATCCCCTCTCACATCTGGCGCTACGTTCCCTCAACAGACAACCCCGCTGATTGTGCATCACGTGGTTTGCTTCCCGCTCAACTCATTGATCATCCTCTATGGTGGAATGGCCCTCCATGGTTAACTCTTTCAGATGATCATTGGCCATCTAATCGCTTCGTTCCCATCAACTTGCAAGACACTCAAGAATGTAAAACAACTCCTCTAAATGTCCTAGTTTCAACCCAACCTCCAGAATGGGATCTTCTCTCCAAGTACTCATCGTGGTCCAAACTACTTAGAGTAACAAGCTATGTCTTGCGGTTTATCCACAATGCACGTAGCTCTGACCGAAGACATGGGCATCTCACCGTCTCTGAACTTAAGAACTCAGAGCGTACCATCATCAAGTGTGTACAAGCTACATGTTTTACGAATGAATTGACTCTACTTCACAAAAACAAACCCAGTACCTCTAATCTTCAACCTTAGACCCTTTTCTGGATGCTTCCGGCATAATTCGTGTGGGAGGCCGGTTAAGAAGCTAACACGTAAATTCAAAGACAAACCTCCTGTAAATAGTTGAAAATAACATTCAGAATATTCTTCAGTACTCCGTTTTTTTTTACACAATTTGGTGTTCATTGTTATAAAACTATCGTTTTATGGAGGCCGGTATGTTCAGTAAAAGGCCAGCTGACCATATGAGTATATTAAAATAATCCCCACATGTCAACAACAATCCAATAATAAAATTTTAAAAAATGTAAACATTCCAAGGTAAACATTCTGGTTCAAGAAGTGCAACTTTTCTCTCTTGTAATATCGTTTCTTTGTGTAACATAATTCATTTCTCTCTCCTTTTATTTTGACTTATTTCATTTACCTTTTCCTTTTGTGTTCATTAAATAAACCCTTTTTAATTTCACTCTAAATTCTGTGTACCTACTGTGAGAACATTTGGACATTAATGAAACATATTATCTTCTCAACTAGAGCCAACATTCGACCAGATCTTCTTTCAAGACCTTAACGTCATGAAGTGGTAACATAACTATAGTTCAGAATTAAAAATTATACCAAAAGTCCAATATTTTCTGTTGTCAAAATTATATTAATAACCCATATACAGTCCACTTTATTATTTCTACAATAACCTTTTGATTACGCTACAATGATAATAATCCGATTGTTCTTCCATTTTTCTCTGTTCGGTATTTGTAATATATTTTATATGATTAGTTTCTAACAGTTGAAACTCTTGTTTACCTTTTTATTGTTAGCTCGCAAATAAGGTCAAGGCGACCAATTCATCCATAAGGCCCATGTTAAATTTCTAAAAGTTTAAATTAACGTAGCGATAAGCCCTGTGGTCCAATTTGTACCATTTCAGATTCATACCTTCCCGTGGTTGGTCACTATGACTGTGCTAAATTTTGTGCAGATCACTTCAGCCGTTCAGGAGGAGTATTTGTAAAACAAAAGCAGGAGTGTAGGAGTGTGTTTGCCCGCTTCGCTTCGCTGCATTATTTGTTTAATATGCTTGTGTGGGAAAACGTCGTAACATATATGTACGTACTACTTTGGAGCAGAAAGTGAAAGTACGACTAGCACTCTGTGGTTTTAATGGATAGACCTTAATACAAAACCTGTTTTACCAATTGTTATCACGAAATGATTCTATTTTTCAACCCGATTGAAATAACCATCATTCTATTGCGAATCTTATACAAAAATCTGGGGGTGGGTTTGATAAAAGCATAAGAACTTTAGAGAATGAAACTAGGAATAATAATTTACTCGTAATTATTACGAAGTATGTAAGAATATCTGTTATAAATCTCACTATCTCTTGATTGATAATAGCAAAAATCATTTGTAGATACAATCTATTGCCATACAAATTACGTTGTATTAATGAAGAGGCTACCTTGGTTATCCTACTTTTTCGTGGTATCCAGAGAACCCAGGGCCACTTTACCCGTCAATCCGCCTGTTCCAACCTCTCCTCAACCCATAACCCAAAATACCCTGATATAACTAATAAACTATGTAATTTAAAATAATTTTCTGCCCATTGTTCACAAATATAATCTTATCATAGCACTTATCTTATCACACATCTTATCATACCTGCTCGTCTTATGTTCCAAATCCTTTATGTATACCATAGCCCAGAAATATGTTCCACATTACTTCAGGCTAAGCCAAGAGGGGGTCGTGGCATTGTAACTTTGTCAAAATTCCAGTGGTGATTGGCAGAACTTAAACCCGGGACCTCGGGGACATTGTGGTTTATCAATCTATCAACCGTTATTGTCTCTTAAGCAGGATTTTATAAAACCTCTCGACAATTATTACGTTTCCTTTCTACACTGAGCTTTGACGAATCTATGTCGAAATTCAGATTCCTTCACAATCAGTATTTTACCTTATTCCTTATTATTTTATTTTTCCTTATTTGTTATTTGTTGAACTGAAAATAGAATAAAAATAATTTCATCACAAAAGTTATCAACTAGTTTTGTCAGCTAGGATTCTAGCAAACAAAAATTTTACTAAAATTAAATTCTGATAGTGAGCGTGTACATTTTAACAACAAACTTTATTAATCTGATGTAAACTGTGACAGTAGTGACTCTGTGGTTTATTAGCTTAAGATTGGGCCTATAGGTAATTATCCAAATAAAATGGTAATGACTGATAAGATTATTTTACATAATGTAGAGCCATTTCCAGTATAATGATGTTTAGTTTAGTGCTGCTCCTTCCTGTCTAGGATATACCATCAATATATATATAATATATATATATATATGAATGGGGGATACTACCATATACCTGGTAAATGGCCCCCTACCTGCTGTCAGATAACCCTCTGGTAAATAAGTAGATAGAGTAATGGTAAAATGTACTAATGGTAAAAGTACACCGAAGCATGGTATAAGAGGTTGGTGATGTAAGTATTTGTACCTAGGAGCCCCTACATAAATTACCTCGAACTATTACTAGTAGAGTTGAGGACCTATAAAGTAGGCATTTTCATTTTAAACTGAAACTCCCATTCGATTAAAATAGCATTTAAACATAGACAAGCACACTAAAAATGACGTCCAAGTATCTCTCAGGATTGATGGGTATTTTATCAGATTTGACAGATACTGGTATTGCTCCTACGATTGGATTTATTCCATTTTGGACAGTTTATCGTGTGGTCTTACTTTATAATAAGAGAATTCCGCATGGAGTTGTCAATGTTTGCATAAATATCGTAACTATCTATAGATTTACCGGACATGTTTGAAAGTTCAAAACATGTTGTGAGTCGAACGAGAGGACCAGATCAGCTGATGCAGACGCCGAGCTCTGATTGGCCAGTGGAGACGCCAGTGTGTGTATATAAGGCTCAGCTGACTGTCACTGTATCAGATATTTCCGTCAACGAAACATCAGACTACTATTATCATGGGCAAGGAGAGGAACAACGTCAACATGGCCGTCGTCGGCTACTACTAGACTCTCACATCAGGTAAATAATTTAGTGAAAATTTTTTTTTAATTACAACTCTAAGGTTGTTAGATTTACAAATACTGTAATGACAGTACATTTTATTAATGGGATTCTGGATTTAACACCCAAATTTATTGAGCTAGTAATTATTGACTGTAAAGAATTGTAATATTATCGTTTTTGTATTAAATGATAATTCAGTTACAAATTATGGCTTATTTACTTGCAAAGGGCATTTATTTAAAACCTAGGCAAAACAAATTATGAACGTCTTTAGTTTTTAGTTGATAAAAAACTATCAGTTATAAGTAAATATTATTTTAAAAATTAACATTTCCTTATATGAAATATAATTTATTTAGTATTTTATTGTTCACATGTCATAGGTAAAACGCCAAAAAGTATGAAATAAATAACACATTTTTTATGTTAAAAATATTCTGCCACAGCAAAACTGCATACTAAGCAAATTTACATTCGCTTAGATATATTTTCAATTAATATTTAAGTTTAACGAGTGCCTAGGTTTGCTGCTACAGTGAAACTAATAAATTGTGTTTTCATTAAAATATGAATAGCTTAATATGAAATATATAAATCTGCCAAGTTTGATCAAAATATAACTATAAACAAGCCAACTAAATTTTTCAATATTCTCCATAAGAATATCATGAGGATTTTAAATGAAATTTTTTATTAATTAGCTCCGCAACCAATAACCGTACAAAAACTCTTTAATATATTAAATTATTTTATTTTTAAGCTCTTTAAAAAGGTCTAAAAAATTTATAACTTTTTTGTTTTAAGGGTAAAAAATGTAAAAAAAACCATTTCTACCCCATAAAATCCCCCGTTAACCCCCGTTCCCATGGTCCTATCATGCTGGTTCGCGAACTCATTTAAGTTTATCCCACCTTTTTACACCTTTTCACAGTTTATACACCTTCAAACTAAGTTTTATCAAAATCGGACAAAAATTACTCAAGTTATTGCGTTTACGGACACATACACGTACGTATATATATAAATTCTCGTACATACATTAAAAATGTAAACGAATTGTGATTTTGACCTCTGGGGACATCGAAATGAAAAAGTAAATCGGTCCCGGGTCTTGAGACCTACGGCAATAGCAACTTCCCTAAACATAACAAACAGCTCCAGAATTAAATGTGTAGAAGAAACAATTCGTGAGAATGACTGTAATGATCTCTTACTTTCATTGTGTTAGCTTCATTTCATTTATTAGAATCAAATGTTACATTATGTAGATAAAAAACCTCTGGGTCTTTGTTTCTCAAACTTTAATAATAAATTTAAAATAATGTCATTGTAATTAAAGATACGTGATATAATTTTTTTTATCATCTTACGTGTACCTTTAATTACTGCTAAATTCAGGTAACATTTACAAAACTACTTCCTGATTAAGGAATCGCATTGTTAGTGTCAGTCTACGAGTTTGAAATATTAGTAAGAGATTTAAGTTTTTAATCTTAAAGTATCAAGTTCTTATATATTAAGGAAAGATTGTTGCATGTATATTTTTTTAGCTTTCAAGATGGCCAGGTAACACCAACCCTATGACATGCTATTTTTTTCAACGTTAGTAAAATAATTTTAAATCCTTGAATGTTTGTAAGATTTGAATGTAATAAATAAGATTGTAAAATAATATTAAGCATTTACTGTTCCAGATGATGGTGGGCTAGTACAACACGGACACGTCTCAGCTTCTGTACACGGACACGACTTGGACACGGACAACACGATGCTACGAGAATAACCCCCGGACTACCCTACAACTGATTGGCTTTTATACTACAAACTTTGTGTTTGGCAGTAATAAACTAAATTTTACAGAAATTTATTGCGTTGTAATTGGAACCAATTCTAATTTTAGTCTATATTTTAAAATTATATGTTGTATATATGGATGTAAATAATATGTTCGTTTATGTCAATACACCACCAAAATAAATGGGGTGTGGTAGAGGAATAATCACAATGAATTGAAAATGGTACCACACATTTGGATCTGAATAACAATTGCCTTTGAAAATATAAAGTAATGGCATCGATAAGCTAGTAGCCTTAATGATAACATTTATTTTTAATTTTGCACTCAAAACTTCAAAGGGGCTCCACACATAACAGTTGGTAGCACTTTCATGTTGTGAGCTATGCTCTAGATAAATCCATTTTTCTATTTGTAAAGCTCGTGTTTGATCTAAATTAACTTTTGTTTAAAATATATAAAACCAAGGCCTAACAAATCAGTTGTACTAAAACAATTGTATTTTTTCACACTTATTAATTTTATAAAGTTACTTTTAACTATTTAAACATACACTCTCATTCACATGTTGATACAAATGTGTGAACTAGCTTATAAAAGTACTAAGGATGTGCTTAATTCTTTAGGTATTTTAACGTTATTCCTGTTTACACCTTTAGTTAATGACATATACTACAAGAGGTAAGAAATTATACAAACTTAGTTGCCAAACGAAGCAGTAACTGAACTTTGTGGGAACTCTGAAAGGGATTTTAAGTGTACATATATATATCATTATTTTCTGCTGCATGAACAATCACATTGATATATCGATTGTACCTAAGCCAGAGATGAGGGACCATGTTGTTTCGAAACAAGACCTATATTATTGTCCAAGCATAGAAAAATATAACACTGTAACTCGAGAAATTATGTGTGAAAGATTATTCCTAATGTTGTTTACAAGTTTGGCACTGTTAGATGAGTAGATGTTTGGGAATTAAATCAAATGGTTCTTATGTATTTTGAATATAATTTAGTGTTATGCAACAGGCACTTGTGGGAATGACAAAATGAAAACTTTCCCAAAGAAAATGGACATTGTGTTATTTATGCTATCTTTATATATAATACGTGAATGTGATTTCTACGAAACAATACGCCTCCGTTAATAATGGACGGATTTTTACAAACAATGTGTCAAAATGAAGTATTGTTTGTGTAGACGCCCCCTTTCACCAATTCCTGTAATAAAAGTCCTCTGGCTTTGCCCCACAGGCCATCAAAATCCCAATGTATTTCTTATGGATAAAAGATTTTGTTTACTTAAACGGACGAATAAAATTGTATTAGTATTAATTACAGCTGTTCATAGTAAACACACGATAAACACAAGAGCGTTCGTTTTCAGTTTCGATAACTGGAGTGGAGTGATTGTTTACAAACTACATAATTCATTCATTACAATTCATTACATCATTCATTGGAAACAACATCTTTGAGTTGACCCTTTTAAGTCATCGGACTGTTATTCGTTTTGAAATAACGCCTGTAACAATTCGCAATAATTGCTTTAATTCGAGCAACAGATGCACTAGTTACTATATAACATTGTGATCTTTACAGCTTAGGTCATTAATCCCCAATTAGTTCTTGTACAACCATATGACACTGACCTATTATCCGTAACGCCATAATTGGTAAGGTGAAAACTTCAACTAATTACTTAATAGCCGCAGGTACGCGTACGTGGTATTCTAAAGTAGTTTCAACTAATTTAACAACTGTACCACCAGTTTATTTGTGATTTATGCCTTTCCAGAAACCTGGCTAACTCTTGTAAGTTAGAAACATTAAAAACTGTCTATTTCTCGATTATATACCTTCACACATTAGCTACGGGATCTGCTTCTTTGGGCCAACCAAAAATAAAAACTTCAAAAGATCTTAAAATCACCAACCAAAACTGTACAACCAAAGTAAATATTAACTTTACATATGCACAACCTAAAAATACCATGAGTTTTGTAATGTTCCTAACTGTAATGAAGAAATATCCAATGTCTGTTTTAATTAAGACAATAATTAGTAGTGTAGTGTAGCGAAAAGTTAAGTCCAAAACACGAGTGAAAGTGGATCCATACATATGCTCGACCATTTTAAAGTGCTCGATTTCAAACATATGGACTCAATTATGTAATGACTCACTTTCTACTCTTTGTATGAAATATACTATAGTTGTGCAGTAAACAAGCTCATCGATTCTCATTTATTAATTTGGATGTAATTGCCGAAGTTCGTAAGTATTACTACTACTGTTATTAATTGTATTGGATTGATCTCCATTCACAACCAGTTTATCTATTATTCTATGTTAACGGCGTTTTAATCGTAATTGCATTACAACTGTCTAGCGATTGTTTACTAGTAAACAAATTATATTTGGCCATAAAATATGTACGCAGGTCACAACTTTAACGAATCTTTAATATATGTCCAGAGATGGCATTTCAACCACGATGATCCATCAGGCTTAGCTGCACTGGTGCATCTCAGCTGTTCAGTTCTCTTTATTACTTTTAGCACTAACCCTGGAGAATAGAGACACAACGTTCCACGATACGGGACTGGGCAACATCGGATGGACGAGTGTGTCCGGTGAAACCAGGCCAACAACTGTTTCAAGGCTCCTTCTGACTACTTCCCACCTCACACAATGAAAAGGCGTACGCTGTACATCGTCATAAACGGAGTCACCATACTGACATTCTGTGCCCAATGACATCCCCGCCTTGTGAAGGTAGGCTCCGAAACGCGGTGAGCAGTTGGGTGGGATAAAAGTCTACCTTTCCGTGCTCTCGCTCAATCCACCTCCGGAGATCCCCAACGAGTCTCACCGTCCATTCCCCTCCCAGCGATATCGCAAGTCATCCATAGGGCGTTCTCAGGCTTCGGCACAACTTAAAGCACCGTTCCCATCAAAGATCCGCTTCCGCCCAAAAGCAAAAAGTTCAATGGTAACTACCCCTGCAACTACGAGGACCGCTGGCTCCGACACTGTGCGGTAATTCAAGGCGATCCGAAGAGCGCTTCTCCTCTCCCTTTGGACCGCTGCCATCTTTCCTCTTAGTGTTTTGTTTTGAAGCGCCCATGACTCACATCCAAAAAGAAGTACGGAGTAGACAGCGGACATCAGCACCCTCCACTTGCTGCCAACCGGTCCACAAACATTTGTGATCAGTCTGCTCAAATAGGCTACAACCTTTTCCACTTCATCCATCGCAAAAAAATCTTTTTCCGGAATGTGAGCCTGACATCCAATCTCATACCCAAGAACCTCAAAGACGGTACTGACAGTTAAAGACATGGTCTTGTGCCTAATTTTCTCGACATTTAAGGCTACTTTACTCATCGTGTCAATACCAAGTTTTTTTCATCCCATAACGACTAATACCCATCTGTACATCTGTTCTTTTAATTACTTGGCCAAGCTACCCGGAGGTGGCCGGAGGGATTGAAATAGAATAGGACGGGCTCTTACTTCGGGTCGCCAGATTTCTACCCCCGGATATTTACCCCCATGAAAAAACGCCTACGTCACTTTGACGTCACATGTATGGGGGTAGATTTCCGGCCGCGAACTTTTAGGATGGATAAATTATTATTTATTCAATCAACTCGCATTTCACGGTTAACTTAACAGTTGTAATTAATCAAAATACTAATAAACCTGACACCGGATCTTTACCCCCGGAAATCTACCCCCAGACATCTACCCCCGGACATCTACCCCCGGACATCTACCCCCAGACATCTACCCCCGGACATCTACCCCCGGACATTTACCCCCAGACATCTACCCCCGGAAATCTACCCCCAGAAATGTACCCCCAGTGGTCAAATCATAAATGCCTGACCCCGGAATTCTACCCCCGGAAATATACCCCCCGTGCTACACTACGTATCGGCCAATATCCATTGTTGTAGTTGATTTTAGTAATTGGTGTATAAAAATAATCAATGGCTCTTCGTTTAATAATTACCCTCTAATATCTAGTATTAAGCATGTGATATGTCGTTGTCTTGTTTAATGTCATCTATCTTCCCAATTCATTAAGCTGTAACTGATTTAGGTGTCATTTTTAAGTTTAAGATTCAGTGCAACGCAAATGGTAATTAAAAAGGATATTTTGATAAAGGGCTTCAAAAGTTTAACCCATAAGCATTTGATTTATTTTCAGACAGTGATTTAAATGGTTGACCAATTTTCGCATACACTCATAGCTAACGGCACATGTACGAGCGCAGATCGTTAAATTTAAAACATATCACTGAAGGAGGTTATTTTCTGATTACTAGTGGTAAAAAATGCAATTAAATGTTGATAAAATGCCTGCCACAGGTTGATTAATGAATTAATATTTTTTTCATTATTAATTACCTTCCCTTAATACGAAATAGCATAATCCCTATGTCGTAGACACTATCCAGAGTTTTACATTGGCCAAAAAGTCTAGTTGTTTACACAAACAATTAATCGTAAAAAATAAAACATGAACATATTTTATGATTGGTTCTGGTTGTCAATGCTGGTTGTGAAGTAACGGAGAATAATGTAAAAGAAAAAAATTGGATATTTCGGGATAGGGAAGGTATTTTTACCTCATGGTTCTTTTGGGTTTACGAATTTATTTAAATGAAATTAGAGTTTAGTATGAACGCTCAAAATTATATATTTTTTGGTCATTTTTAAGTTTCATACATTAAAGAAGCCAAAACAAGTCTTTATCTCAATTTCTGTCTTGTCTGTCAAGCTCCAGAAGGCATTTTACTCCTCCTCAAAAACTAGAGCATCGATCGTGATTCGATTTAAATAGTCTTTTTGGATTCGGTGGATTGACACGAGTGTCTTAAGCCATTAATAATTTATAAAAAAAAACTGTTTTTAAAACAAAACGTTTTTAAACGCACTAAAAAAGTATAAAATAATTTTTAAATTATGTGGAGAGTATAAATACTTGCAAGATGTAAAACGAAAAACGTGGGGTGCATGCAATAGATTATTTACAATTACCTTCACCTATTGAACTAATGTATTATTATAAATTGCATGCACCCCACGTTTTTCGTTTTACATCTTGCAAGTATTTATACTCTCCACATAATTTAAAAATTATTTTATACTTTTTTAGTGCGTTTAAAAACGTTTTGTTTTAAAAACAGTTTTTTGTTTATAAATTATTTTCTCCTTTTTGGTTTTAATGTGTGTGGATGTTAAATCTATTTCAAGCATTTATATCAGTTTAAGACAGAGGCATGTGGGAAATCTAAGGTTTATTTGAGTTTCTTTTCATATAATTATGCATTAGATTGAATGTATGGCCTACCTACTAACTATAAATATATCAATCTATTTAATTTATTGTAAAAAAGGATATGCAAATTATTATACTGCTCAACTTTTTAGGAAAAGGTAGGAAAATCCATTTTTACACGATCTAATTCATCTTGGTTTGTTTATTTTGTTTGTTTTGTATTTTATTTTTGACTCAGCTGTTTACCAAAACAAACTATATGATGTTGTTTTTACTTTTCTTTGTTTACACTTATTTATTTAGCAATTTGATGCAGTGAAATTGATATAAAGGATATGTGTGGACGATTCGTTTAATGATGTCAGGACACCAACGTTATAATTATGTGTACTGTGAATTTCATTGGATGTTTTCGTTTTTTTTCGGGAGTTTCTATTCAGACCTACTGGAAATTGTGTATAGTATGAGTAATTGTATTGTGTTGATATTGATTATGAAAGAGGCAGGTTGGCAGGTATGCGATGGAATTGGAAGGTGATATCGTTGACTAGGCCTATACACTTTCTCAATCTCAATTGATAATTACTCTTTCTACTCTAGGCTGCTATAAAATTTGTCTTTATACGTGTAAGCTAGCTGTTCTGATTTATACACAGTTTTAACTGACTACTCCCGTACGTAGGACGGGCTTACACCTCGTTTATCTTTATTTTGAAAGGTTTGTTTGTATAAAGAATCTCTTGGGAGCATAACCTGTACCTCTTAACCTCTGCTCTTCGAACTGTCAAATTAAAGTATTTACAGCTGACTTAAATGAATTGATATATTTACATTCTTTCAAAATGTAAACATGGAAAATTTGGAAGCCCATGGGGCATAGCCCAAGGGAAATATGGAAATTAAATGATATAATGTTGCATTGTCATCCATTTGTGAGCTATGTTTCAAATTTCAAGTCTCTAGCTCATCAGGAACTTCGTTTAAAATTGATACCAAAATTTGTAGGAAAGCGAGCTAATAAAAACAAGCCCATGGGGCGTAGCCCAGGGGAAATATGAAGATTAAATGATACAATATTGCATTGCCATCCATTTGTGAGCTATGATTCAAGTTTCAAGTCTCTAGCTTATCGGGAAGTATCAACATTTGCAAGAAAGCGAATTAATAAAAACAAGCCCATGGGGCGTAGCCCAAGGGAAATATGAAAATTAAATGATATAATATTGCATTGTCTTTCATTTGTGAGCTATGTTTCAAGTTTCAAGTCTCTAGCTCATCGGGAAGTTAGTATAAAATAGATTGCCTAATTTGTACCGGATAAGAAAGCGAGCTAATAAAAACGATTTAATAAAATATGACCTCACTACTTCTGAATTAAAATAAATTTTTTTCAAACCCCCAATTTTTTGCATTTTTGTCAAGTTTACTCCTAATGTTTACCAGTAATTTATGAAATACTAATAATTTGTTTGGAGAATACGACATCTATGAAGTAACGAACAGCTGTGAAAGATGAAAAGTTGAAAAATTAAAAATGGTGGATTTTCAATCAAAAAGATAGTTTTTAACGCTTTTTTAACGTCTTTCTGATAGAAAATTAACATGAAAGGCTTAGGGGTCAACCTTTTGAAGCCCTAATCAAAATATCCTTTTTAATTACCATTTTGCTCTTCACAAGATCTTAAGCTTAAAAAAAACACCTCAATCGTAACAATCGGCGAAGTAGGTCGGGTGAAAAAGGACTGTTACAGCTTATTGAATTAGGAAGATAGATAATGTTAAACAAGACAATGACATATCGCATACTTTATACTGGATATTACAAGACAATGACTAACCAAAGAGCCGTTGATTTCCGAGGGTAGAATTCTGGGGTCAGATATTTATGATTTAACCACTGGGGGTAGATGTCCGGGGGTAGATGTCTGGGGGTAGATGTCCGGGGGTAGATTTCCGGGGGTAGATATCCGGGGGTAGATTTCCGGGGGTAGATATCCGGGGGTAGATGTCCGGGGGTAGATATCCGGGGGTAAATGTCTGGGGGTAGATATCCGGGGGTAAATGTCCGGGGGTGGATTTCTGGGGGTAGATGTCCGGGGGTAGATTTCCGTGCTATAGCAAATCACTTTATAATCAAACAGTTACATGTTGATTATTTAATAATATATTGGGGGTAAATTTCCAGTCGCGGGCTGTTTCTCGACCGTGTTTAGGCCCCGCCCCTCGTGACGTCAAAATGACGTAGGCGTTTTTTCATGGGGGTAAATATCCGGGGGTAGAAATCCGCTACCCCCTTACTTCTCCGTTGGCGGGTACACTCGAATCAAGCCCTGAAATCCAGGTAGAGACTTTGATTGCGCAATTGTTTGAAAGACACCCACCTGGACGCATCGGAATTGCGCACCTATCCTCCTCAGAAAATATAATGGGTGACCAACAAAAAAATATGTATAATAACTAACTTGTCATCGAACGTTTATTATAACTCATTCAGTTGGAGAGTTTTATTACCTACTCATTTTGTGTAGGCTTACAAATGTGTTTGTTTAGAATTGTATATTAATCCTAACAAATTCGTGGTCTAATCAATAACTTAAATGATTCTTCACAGGAAGGTGGGAAAATAAAATAAATAAATAACCACTATATTGTTATCAAGCACTTATTACAATCACAGAGCTGGTCAATTTTTGTATCCTACACATAGTGTAGGTCAACAAATCCATTTGTTTTAGGTTCAGCTACTCAATCCTTTTCTCACTAGTTTTTTTCAACTCTTTGTGACATCCTTCATTTTAATCATACAACTATACCTTAGAAACGACGAAGAGGACCATCGCACTTTTGTTGTCGATAATCGTCATACCTTAAATCTATTTCATTATATTTATCAAGTCAAGACTAATGCCATGATGCATTATAAATATTTCTTTTTGATAACACATTGTGCACTGTCGTGCTATTACTTAATCTGACTACTAAGACTGTTTGATAAACAGTGTGATGTCAAACAATGTAGTGCAGTCGAGTACAATGTTCAAAGCCGACCTATAACTGAATGTATCGAACACAGATAACAGAGCTACTGATAACAGAGTGACCCCTAGAGATAAGCGTGGTGCGGACTGCGAGTGTGTGTGGTGCGGCAGTCTGACCATGTATCGCAGCGTCGCAGCACGTCCCGAGTGGACCATAGAGAGATACGAGGGCGGCGACGCGACAGAACTGGTCCGCGACATTCAGCAGCGGCGTCGTGAACTGCACGACAACTGTCGCGTGGAACAGTGGCTGACCGACCACGACGTAGCGGCCTACGTTCTGTACGAGGAAGGCCGCGCTCTAGCCTTCGCGCTGCTGAGCGGCTACCCGGCCGACCCGCGCAGCGCCACCGGACACAAACACCCGAGGTTCCTCAACTACATATACACGGTGGAGGCACAGCGCAACAGAGGTCTGGCCTCGGCGCTGCTGCGGCGCGTCAAACAACACGACGAGGTGACGGCCGTCTGCTGGAACGACATCTCCGAGCGCATCTTCTACAAGGCTGGCTACTACATACAGGAGATCGTCAACGCCACGGCGGTCTACAGATACCCGTGATCCTTCCTCACACCACTCCTGATCAATACTCATTGTATAAAGTATTATTTTGTAACAAATAAAACAAGAAAACACCATTTACAGTGGCAGGGACTGTAATGGTGTGAAGAAATAGTCAACTGTGTTGAGTGGTTAATTAGGTATTGTAGAGTAAGAATTAAGTATTATTGTAAGAGGTTTATGAAATGTTTGTATGTAAATAAAGTATACAATAAAAAATAAAACAAAACAAAAACAAAAACCAATGAAACTTTTAACATTGCCATAACATGTGGCCAACAACGTGTGGACACTTCCTAAACATGTGAATCTATGTTAAAGAAGAATGCCGACAAATTATCTTAACCGGATGATACTGGTATCACAAATATCATTCGGCTTGGGTAAACAATCCAACAATCGTCAAAATAATTGAAAGTTTTGTTATTGAAGGATCTGGGGGAGGCCCAACGCCATGGAACCGTAGGATTGTCGGATATTTAGGGAATCCGGGGACGATATTCCTACATTATGTTGGGCTCTTAAGATAAAAGTAGTTTAAAACAGATGACTAATTTACATTATATTACATTCTTTTTATTATCCACATTAATTAGGTTTTATAGAGGAGCCTACTTCATTACTAATTAACCGAATTTGCTATTTTTTAATAATCATTTTCTGTTCATTAGTATGAACATAAATAATTAATATTCCTTTTTATTTCCACTCATTTTAAAATTTTTTCATTGAATACATTATTATTTTAGTTTCATGTATAAAACCGTAAAGCCAATGTCAACTCTAGGCCTATATCAAAATTTTCTTAAATTAATTCAGGATTCTATCAATATTTTTCTTGTCACTTACTAGCTACGATGTTTTTTTCGACTGGCCTGTAATCCAGCTACTAGGAGGTCACGAATTGTGGATTTTTATAGGCATGCACTGTGGGTGCGATACTCCCTGGTGTGGATTAACGTCCGCACTAGTGAGTACTACGACTATCCATCTACTACAATCCGAGTACTACGACTATCCGCTGTGTTATCCTGATAATTAGACCAATTCGTAAATACTAAATACCAAGGCAAAAATGTGGTTCGGATTCCACTATAAACTGTAGGTCCCTTAGTTGCCATTAGCTGTATGGGCTATTAATTAACAGCTGTGTCTAAGGAATATGTCGGCCTTACTAACAAGACTACAATATCGCGCCACTCATCCTACACTCATCTCCATTCATACTTGGCTTAAAATACCTACTTTGTATGGTCGCCATTTCATTTAAAAGTAGGCTATTAAAAGTAAAGTATTAAGTATAAGTATTTTATTCACGTCTCCATGTATAATAGTTGTGTTCCGCTGATATTCTAACTCTAATAAAGTCCTGATTGAAACCCCTAAATTTATAACACCCCCTTTTTATCACGTATCCTGGATCCTACTCAACCAATTCTTACAATTAAGTTACGTAATTTTGAAGCTTATGCTCTAGCGTAGAGGTGAATTGAAACTAAAATATATTATACTTTAGGGCTTTACCACCCTAGCGTTTAATTGAATAACTCTTTTTCGAAGACCCAATGATGCTGGCCAACTTTAAAAAAAGGTTTAAATGTGAATTGAAATTTAACAGTTGATCCCTCAGTTCAATGGTTGGCCACAATCAAATTGTAAACCAAAGACGAAACCTTTTATGACAACAGATTTTTTAAAGGCTCCTTTGGTTGATCATTGATAATTTTAATCATTGATCTACAATAAAAAATATAATTTCAAAAAATTTGTAGTTTTATTCTCCTTATAACAGTGTTCAACAGACGCAAGGCAAAGACAAGCCTTCCTATTGCATTATTCTTTTTGCCACATAACCAAGTTTTCGACTCTATTAAATGGGTAAACTGCGAACGGGACCCTACGTGTTATTTAAATACTGAATTTATCTTACCTGTTTATAAAATAATTTTGGTGAAAATCCAATCAAACAAATTGAAATTTGTCTAGTCTGCAGGTTTGCTGCGGCGGAGGTTATTTTCTGCAAACATTTGTGCAAGGTGTTCTTCCTCCAATGAATATTACAATATGAAAAAATAAATCATGATAGTATTTAAATACCAGCGAACAATATATAACAATAACTAATGCAAAAACAAATATGTAATTTTTACTTCATTATTGCAACATTTTAAATGTGGAGTGCCACAAGGATCAATTCTGGGACCATTTTTGTACACATGTTATACGTATTATTTACCAGATTTATTAGATGATTCTAAAGTCTGTCTATATGCTGATCACATAAGCTTGCTTACATCTGGTAATACCCATCAAAAGTAGAGTCAATGGCAGAGTAAAGCAACTAGCATATATTTAAATATTTTATTAAACAGTGTAAACCTTTTACAAAATATAAATATGACAAAATACATATATTTTTTTCATATGCCAGAGTAATAAACAAGTTCAACACAGAACTTTTATGGAAGAGAAATGTCTGGAAGAAGTTTTAAACTCCTAAACTAAATTGAAATTTTTACAATATATTTTTATTTAATCTTGTTTTTATAGAATAATTTACAAACATTGTTGATCTTAGGTTCGTGTCACAGCTATGGGACAAGGCACAGATATTAAACCAGTTTTTCCACTCAAAATTTAAAATGCTGTGAAAACCCCCTTTATACGCCAATTTTAGGTTTTATAAGGTTCTGTGTGATGTTCTTTTACAAATAACAGTCAAAAGTAAATTTAAAAAGCAACAAAAACGTTTATGTTATCCAAGCCTGTCCATTCTGGGGATCATTTGTTGGTTGAATGCTGTAAATTTAAAGGCGAACAGTTTTTACATTTTATTTACTTTTTTTAGTATTAATGATTTTATTTAATATTGTATAACGCCATTCTCGTACAACATTTTGTACTCTTGAACAAAGAATAAATAACTATGACTAATATTGACCACTCAAACCACTAAGGAAGCGTATACTTGTTTTGTACTATCCATAGCTCCTAACTCCTCTGAGAATTAATTGAGTTACCATCCGTTAGTTCGTTATTACTTATATTGAATGAAAAAACGATCGATATTAGGTTATTTAACAAGGTCAGAGTAAGAACCGCCGCAATTCAAATGACATACAAATTACACTTGTTTTGATAAAACCCCATATTTTACCTCGTAAAAGGTTTCTATATCTAGCTAGTTCATGTAGGCTATATTGTTTTTTTTTTTGTTTTTTTTTTTTTGAGTTTTTAATTCATATGGCGATTTAGCTGTTATCATTAAATTTATTTTAAAGATTTCCTGTTCAAAAATACTAGGTAGCCTAAAAGGTTCTTATTATTTTCAATAAGCACTCATTTCACCAATATGAGTAAAATATTTAAATTTTTTTTGTCAATGGTGGTTTGCTAGAAAAAGGTGACTTGTAGTGAAAATTCTCCATAAAACACTATAAACTAGACGTAGGTCTTTCGTATTATTAGTCACCTGTGTTTTATTTGATTATGTAAATTTTGTGGGAACGTAAACGGCAACTTTTGTAAACATGTAGAATCCAAGCCCAGATTTTAACAATAAGATTTCATAGTTGCCCTTGACTCCCCCCTCCTCTCATCTCAAGGTCAATTGTTACTCTCGTGATGATAACATTCGGAAACTGATAACCGTATTGAACTGTTACTACTTTATAGTGATGAAAGTTTATTCTTCATTGACTCACTATCTAACCGGATGTAAAGATAACATACATTACAGGATGCAGTAGTGAAACGAATGAATGAACTGTAAAATGGCACTAACAACCTTAACTGGATTTGCTGTATTTTATTTCATCATAATAAAATGTGGGTGAGATTAAAATATCCTACGCCGTTCTTTATGATTCAACTAGTAATTCAATAGTAAAGAAAAATCTATTTCAAATATTTGAATACAGTATTACGAGTTGGTCCTTGCACAAATTTTAATAGCGCCCAAAGCTTGTTTTTAAAGCATAACGAGTAATTCAATACCCGTTTATTTTTCAAATATTACTTTGTATCTGAAAATGTAACATTTAATACCCCCGCTGCAGCAAAACTGCCGACTAAGCGAATGGTCCATTTGTCTGAATTGTTTTTCAATTAAATTTATTTAAATGACATTAGGTTTAACGAGTACCTAGGTTTGCAGCTACTAGGTCTACCGTGCCACTTACGGTAATAGCTACTTCCATATAGGGAAATTAGCTAAAACACAACTAATTATATAAAATCAAAATTACATAGAATTGTTTAAGAACATTCCTGGATTATTAAAACTGCTGATTCACAACATTTAAAAAAAATGTCGATTTTAATTATATACTATAATGAGTGATTTATCTACCTCAATCAGGCTACAACTATCGATAAAAATAGCATAATATATCGTGTTCATTAACTTTTTGAGTCTCTTGTTTTTATTTTACAGTGGTTTAAAATGTAAATAAAGATAGTCTGCCGATTATAACTTTAAACCACTACTATTCACGTTGGTTAGAAGCCCCTGGACCTTTAAAGAACCCCTGTAAATCGAAGGCTAGGGGGGCGAAGCCCTTAAGGACGAACCTGTTTATTGTTACCATTTGCAAAGGCACTGGACTATTAGCTTTAAAAGACACTCCAATCTTAAATACCCCCGCCGCAGCAAACCTGCAGACTTAGCGAATTTCCATTTACCTGATTGGATTTAAACTAAAATGCCTCCTTAAAAATATCACATTTATTCCCTATTTAAACAGAATTATTTTAATGAGTACTTAGGTTTGCTGCAACAGGGAGGGTAAACAAGTTTTTTTTTTAATGTAAAATGTTAAAGGTAATGTGGTTTAGTAAGAAATTAATGTATTTTCCAAATTTGATCAAAATATGTTCATAAACAAGCAAACTATAACAGTTGACTAATTCTCCATAAGAATAACATGGGAATTTTAAAATTACAATTTTTTTGAATTTTCTCCGTAACAATTAGGCGCATCATAACGCTTCAATATACTAAATTTTTTTTTTTTTTTTAAGCTCTACAAAATGGTTTAAAAAGAAATTGTGAAATTTTGTGTTTTTAGGGTCAAAATGGGAAAAACCTATTTTTACCCCATAAAACCCCCCATAAACCCTGGTAATAAAACCCCCCATAAATGCTGGTTCGCAAACTCATTCAAGTTTATCCCGCCTTACACCTTCAAACCAAATTTTATCAAAATCGGACAAAAATTACTCAAGTTATCGTGCGGATGGACATATATATATATAACAATAAGATTTCCTAATTCATATGGCGATTTAGCTGTTATCATTAAATTTATTTTAAAGATTTCCTATATATATATATATATAAATATATAGGCCTACAAATAAATATAAATATATATATAATATAAATAATATATATATATAATATAATAATATATATATATAATATATAAATATAAAATATAATATAATATAATATAATATATATATATATATAAATATATATATTTTAAATATATATATATATATTTATCTCTATATATAGATATATAAAAATTTGAACGAATGGTGTTTTTGGCCTCTGGGGACATCATAATGAAAAATAAATCGGTCCCGGGCCTAGGTCTTACCATGAGACCTACGGTAATAGCTACTTCCCTATAGGGAAATTCGCTAAAATCAGTTAAGAAGGACGGCTGAATAGGGGACGTTACAGAAAAAAATCCCATTTTGAGTTTTACAGAGCAATCAAATAGGAAATTACGAATGCAAAACTTCCAATCACGTTCTAAACATAAGCTATTTAACATATTGTAGAATGTCAAAATAATCAAAGTTAATGAGGTTGGGGTTAAGTGATAAAACTGAACTAGATCCGTCTGAGTGTTTGAGCAAAGCGAGTCGAGTTTTACATCAGTCTTCTCCGTGTTATAATATGAGCGGTCCGCTTCGGACAAAGGCCAGTGAGTGTTCTAGTGTCGAGCACAACAACAACAACAACAACAACAACAACACAACAACCTACCATGGGCAAAGAGAAGACAAGGATTGACATGGTCGTCATCGGATATGTTCAAGTCGAGGTAATGTTTCTTGACAACATTATTTATTGCTTTTACAAAAAATAACGCATAAAACATACGTAGTTTAAAAGGTATATCTAAAGAGTTTTCAAACTTATTATTTTCATATTCTCATTAGAATTAGTGGTAAATACTATAAGTAGATAAATTACGACCATTTCCTTTAACTCTTAATGTTGTTTTAATGCTGTATTTGAACTGAGATACTGTCACCGCTATACCCCTATGAAACTTCAAGTCTACTAACTTACGTAGATAAGTCAATATAACATATGCATGACAGTATTTCCTATGTGTCACATAGTTGTATTATTAGAGTGTTTGTGTCCCATTAGGACCTTGAGGTTGTTGACACCTTCTTTACCTACGTGAGGTGGCTCACCCCCACTGGCAGAGTGGACAAGTGCATCGCCCTGTAGACCTCAACAGCTCTCACTTGGGCTCAAGTTGAAATGTCAAGCTGGATGCAAAGGTAATTTTAGATAAATTTTAGTTTTGTTTGAGAATTAGTTATTAAGTCAATAGCGTACTTGTAGGATTCTTTTTCTTCGCACCACAGGTTTGTGATTTGTTATAAACTTGTTTGACGGATTGGCTATTGGTCAATAGCCAATATACATATCGGTGTAGCCTGTTCAATGGTGAACCCATTGTTTGTTCATTGTTAGCCCAAAATATTCCTTAGCGTTGTAAATCAAATTTAATTAAACCAGCGTTTTGATTCTATATTCTCAAACTACGTTAGAAAAGTATTGTTTACATTTTTTAGTAAGCAACACTTAATTCCCTTTACGGTGTTTGAAATTAAGATTGCTCGAGATTAATGTTATGCTCAAGCGCAGAATTAATCACATTATACCGAATACACTCATTCATAACCTGTTATCAAACAAAGATCTAATTTAAAATCATAGAACACATGCCACTAATTACAACTGTTTACGTAAATTTGAATGTATGGCATAATTTTAAATGGGTTTGTTCCTGTACTAATTACTTGTTAATGACGGTGTTAGTAACGAAATAATACAGGGCACGCACTTAAATGATTTTCTCTACTTTGTGAATTATATAACAATGTATAAAGAAATTATTATTTTAATAAAACAGTTAAGTACTGTAAAATTAAGTTTATTACTGTCAAGTTAAATAATGAGTAAGTTAGTCCACAAAGACTAAGTTTGATGAATAAAAACGCCAATCATTTGTAGGGTAGTCCGGGGGATATTCTCGTAGCATGTTGTCCGTGTACAGAAGCCGAGCCGTGTCCGTGTTGTACTAGCCCTCCATCACCTGGAATACATACAACGGATTATCGTACTGTAGAAATTCCCATAAAAATATATCCACGGCTACCTATAGTATGTTGATTAGTTTAATTATTATTAAAATGAATTTATGGTAAATGTGAGTTACTAAATCCACATTATGTTGCTGAATTGCTAAATAAGTTCTCGGAAAACAAAATTAACCGTGAAAAGTGACCACTGTTAACTTCATAGCTTAATAAATAATCGGCACTACGTTACTAAGCCCCGGAACTACAAAGTGCGGCTGGTTTATTGTATCTCTCAAACGTTACCAATCGCTTATTATAACTGATAATAAATTATAATAATTCAATTATAAATTATTAAAGATTGGGACGCCACTAAGTGCGTATTTTAACCCAAATTTGGATTAAAGGATGAGTGTAGGATGAGTGGCACGATCTTGTAGTCTTGTTAGTGACTAAAAAGGTCGACATGTTCTTTAGACACAGCTGTTAATTAATAGCCCATACAGCCAATGGCAACTAAGGGACCTACAGTTTATAGTGGAATCAGAACCACATTTTACCTTGTAATTAACGGATTGGTCTAATTATCAGGATAGTACTGCGATAGTCGTAGTACTCACTGTACTACTATAGTGAGGATGTTAATCCACACCAGGGAGCATCGCATCCACAGTGCATTGATAATGACAGTTTAGTGTTCCTTGGTTTGAAGCTAATCTTGTCATGTAAGTCAACATTAAAAAAACATAAAAGAATGGCTTTATCAGATAGCCAAGAGCGACATCATACGACGAGTTAAACTTTATTTTTATTTTACTAACAAAACACAAAACTATACATACATTGTTTTATCTTTTTCAAATAATGACTGCATGTTTTTAAGTAATGCTTCATTGATCATTCAGGATGATGTTCAGTTATTTTAAGCTCCAATGATTGAAATAGTGTTTGTTAAACCAAATATGAAATAATCAATATTATTTATTATTAGAAGAAATTAATACCATGTTCTGTATCAGGAGTTTTACTTAATTAATATTTAAGTTTCCTGTAAAATGAAAAGATGTTTAATTGCTTCAATTTAAGTTAGTGTTTGCTTTTACATACACTTGAAGTTGTGACCCAATGGTACTGTAGCGGATTTATGATGATAGTTTTTTTTTAATAAAACTTAAAGTATCGTGGAAGATAGGGAACTTAGAAACATTTAGACTATTCAATATATATTTTTGAAGTTTACCTGATGAGAGAGTCTAATAGAAGCCGACGACGGTCATGTTGACGTTGGTCCTCTCCTTGCCCATGATAATAGTAGTCTGATGTTTCGTTGAAGGAAATATCTGATACAGTGACAGTCAGCTGAGCCTTATATACCCGGACTGGCGTTTCCACTGACCAATCAGAGCGCTGCGTCTGCATCAGCTGATGATATCTTCAAACTTTACCCGACTGGCATGAGCGAATCTAATAATACTTTTACCACGGACAAGGTGCTTTCACGTTTCTTAAAGAACCAAGCTATTTTAATAACGGTCCAAATACACACTCTAACAAATATTGTTTTAACACAAATTGTACGTATGTGAAAAAGTATTTAAAATGTGCATTTGCTCCCATTATTGCACTTCTTTCCCCACTGTTTGAGGTTGTTTATTCATCATGTTCTTACTAAAAGTTAATTGTTGAGCGGAGCGAGCGAAGCTCTTATACTAGTCACCACTCATAACATACTCCTCCTATACGGCTGAAGCGATCCGCATGAAATTTAGCTCAGTCATTGTAACCAACTGTGGGAAGGTGTAATCTGAAATGGTACAAATTGGACCAAAGGGCTCTGATCTACGTATATTTAAATTTTTAGAAATTTAACATGAGCCTTATGGGTTTATTAGTTGCAGCACATTACAAATACAGAAGAAAAGGGAAGAACAATCGGATACGATGAACATAATTTACTTGAAAATTGAAAACGAATAACTATTTAATGTTGCCAGAACTAGACTAATGCACCACTGACTTTAGATACTCCAAATAGCCATTATATTTATGTGATACATAAGTACATGTAGGCCAGTGCCTTGGGCAACGGACAGGAGGAAAGTCAATTGGAATAATCTTATTTATTTACGCAGTGCTTCACACCGCTCAATCGATATATAAAATATACAGTATGATCAGTAATTAAAAATTCATGAGGTAAAAAAGTGTTTCGAATAAGTTAAATGGCGCTTTTAGTAACTGGTTGGGGCTTTCAGGCAGTTTTATGGTGATGAAATATCGAACGCAAATATTTGACCCAGAAACACAAACCCGTAAAAATTTATGGGAGTATTGCAAAACTATGAGTACGTCACTGTGGCAATAGTTTTCAAAGTATCCAGTTAACAAATACTCTACTTAGTAATATATTGTCAACAATATATATTATATTATATACGTTATATTTCAAATTATTTAGACTAGATACTATAATCTTAAAGGGAATGTACGTTACATACATTTATTGTGTAAAAATAGATTAGAAGATTCAGTCATGTTGTACGATTTAGTGAATTTCCAATATAAGGGATAGTAGAATTTAGATATAAAAGTACAGTATTAAATATTGGAGACGACGTTACCTCAGCTTTCAACAGTTCTGCACCAGTAGTGCCAACCTCCAAATAATACGACTTATTCTTTTTATAAGTAGCCTACGTATGTGAAAAAGTATTTAAAATGTACATTTGCTCCCATTATTGCATAATTTAACTTTTAATCATATAATCATAAATTATTATCTATCTATATAAATAAAATTAGAGTTTTGTCTGTACATTGCTCAGAATTATATATTTTTAGGATATTTTTACGTCTTATACATTAAATAAGCAGAAACGAGTCTTATCTCAATTTCTGTCTGTCTGTCTGTCTTTCCCTCTGTCTGTAACACTCAAGATGGCATTTTACGCTATCTTCTCCTGGAAAACGAGAGTACCTATCAAGATCCAAGTCATTTTAATGTATTCACTGGATTGGCGAGATTGTCTTTAGCCATTAAAATATGGCCTCACTACTTTGTAAATAATATTACGAACGTTCAAAAATGTAGTTTTGTGTGATTTATGTAAAGTTTTATTCCAATTTTTATTGCATAATCTATGAAATAACGGACAGCTGTTCGGATCAAGAATATTTTTTCTAGCTGTCACTGATATGTTTACAAATGTTGTTTACAAATACCGTAACCTTTTTCAATCCCGTTTTGAATGCAAATCCCAACCAAGTGAGATTAAAAACGTTTTTCTTACATAACGGATTTAATTAATCGAAAGTGTAATAGTGTAACCGTGTAAATGAAATTAAATAACTAGGCATCATCCAGTTCAGGAACCAGAGATTCTTTGTGTATAAATTGTTCTTGAGTTTTGATAACCAGAAACAAGACCTTCTAATGTTAATAGATAGCCTTTACCAATCATTGTTTAGAGAATAGGTACGTAATCTATTAAATAACAAAAAGTTGTTTGTATGAGGTGGTTTTTTTTTTTTTTACTGACACCGATAAGTTTACATTAAAAGTTGTTTATAAATAAAGCAATTAATGGTAAATAACTTTGATTGCCGTTTTAAAACGTTTTACGAGAAAATCCAAAACCAAGAGATCAATAACCTCGGGACTTGATTAACTCATATAATTGGTCGGCTGTACTATAGTTCTCAACTATGAACGTTGGTTTTTGGTACCGGTTCTATTCCTTAAAACCGTTGGTACTGATGGTAGCAGCAAGAATCATTTTTAAGTACCAACACATCACTGTACTTTACAAATTAGTTATCGTTGGTGTTGCACCTTATTTATTATTACAGGCTATTCAATTTAATTGATGTCTTAACTGTGCAATTTTTGCTTTTTCTTTCTTGATTCCAAAATGTTAGTTTATACTATGAAAACGATAACGAATTTTAGTAAAACATTTATTCAGCAAACCATCATGAATTGTTTAAACGTTTTACGTTGTTTATGTATCAATAGTTCGTGGCCTATTTTGGTAATATTTACTATAAATTAACAATCGTCTATAGTACTTCATTTCATAGGCTATAGTAAGCCGTCATTTCGGGTCATCATCGGTCCAAGCAAACACATACATTCATACATTGTTATGATGAAATTTGATGACATTAACAAATATTTCAGATACAAATTTTACAAGTACTTTGTTATGCTTAAACTAAAGCGTAGCAAATTCCCTAATTAAGTTCTGTATTTTTGTGTGTATCAAAACGTTGTATGTCTGTTAGTAACGCATTAATGTCCTTATTTCTCAGTGTTTCACGGAAAGGACAAAAGTACCTTCATAATGAAAATGTCAACACGAATAAAGTGTTAAATTGGGAGTTTGAGATAGTACCTTAAATAGCCTACTTTTAACCATTGTGGAAGGTAACTTTCAATTATAGGCCTACATTATGGCTATGCCTCATAGATTTATAAAGCATTTTTTAGTGTAATCATTGGATTTAACATATGAACCAACACGACCCAGGTTACATTTAATTTCGAAGCATTTGTTTTGGCTTGAAACTGTCAGATATTGTATTTGCGAAGTTTTATATATAGTAGTTTTGCCAGCATATCTGAAAATATGCAAACCAAATTCTGTTCTTAATAAAAAGGTTTCAATAACTGACTACAATAACATCCCCGTGCGTAGAACGGGCACACAGCTAGTAGATAATATAATAATAGAATTTCCATGTGAGGTAGTGTACAAAACTAGGCGTACAATGCAGTTGTCGCTTGGAACTAGCATATTAGTCCCATAATTTTCCAAAGTTAATGCTACATATTTTTAAAGTAAATGGGATATGTATAAGGGAATAAGCTATTATTGTAGGTCTCATGGTAAGTCCTAGACCCGGGACCGATTCAATTTTTCGTTTTGACGTCCCCAGAGGCCAAAAACTCCATCCGTTCAAAATATTATACAGTATATGTAGGCTATATATATATATATATATATATATATATATAGAGAGAGAGAGAGAGAGAGAGAGAGAGAGAGAGAGAGAGAGAGAGAGGGAGAGAGAGAGAGAGAGAGAGAGAGAGAGAGAGAGAGAGATTTATATATGTGTCAGTGAACGATAACTTGAGTAATTTTTGTCCGATTTTGATAAAATTTAGTTTAAAGGTGTAAGGCGGGGTAACATTGAATGAGTTCGCGAACTGGTATAATCAGGCAATGGAAACAGGGTTTTATGGGGGATTTTATTGTGTAAAAATTGTGTTTTATCATTTTGACCCTCAAAACACAAAAATGCCCAATTCCAATCTAGACCATTTTAAAGAACTAAAAAAACAAATATTTTAATAGGCTACATTAAAGTGTTTTTGTAGGCCTTACGGTTATTGGTTACGGAGAAAACTTAAAAAAAAAGTAAATTTAAAATTCCAATGTTATTCTTATGGAGGATATTGTAAAATGATTTAGTTTACTTGTTTATGGATATATTTTTATAAAACTTGGCACATCTATTTATTTTATTCTAAGCTATTAATACTTAACTATAAAAACACACTTTACTAGCCTCATTGTAGCAGCAAACCTAGGTACTTGTTAAATCTAATGTAATTAAATAGATTTAATCGAAAATCAATTCGGGCAAATAGCAATTCGCTTAGTCTGCAGATTTATGCTGCAGTGTATATAGTCTAGTATTTATAATCTAACTACTGTAACTAATAGAATAGAATGAGCGTACTTGAAATGTGCAATAAAACATTTAATTTTATTGCAGATTATTAAAATATGATTAACATAGAAGCATTGTGTAAGCCTACTATATTTTGTGTGAATGTATTTAATGGACCGTTTAATGATTTTTTTTTAATGCGTACAAAGTTTAAACCAGTCTATAAGTTTCTTTGTTAATGCAAGCCGTGCGTAGTCTGGTTATTTTGCTCATAGTATAATTGAGTGACTTGCACCAGTTGGACTAAGTTTAAATATTAACCTCATAGCGTATTGACACTGTCTGGTCGGCAGAAAATGCGTTTAGTGCCTTTAAGAGTATTTCAAAGTTTATTTTTAATCAGATTTCTATGCTTTATTATTATTTTTATTACTTTTTTTGAATGAGGCTTGTCCCTCTCATTTGCCTGGTAAGTTACAGTGAGGAGATATGTTTATTCAAAAATGAAATTTTGAAAAACATATGGATGTTCTTTTTAAATATGCATTTTATTGTTTGTCATTTTATTTTATGTTATTAAGTTATCTTACCTTTTTTTACAATTTATGTCATGACAAGTTTAAGAAACCTTTATTAATAGTTACATACAAATGCCACTACGTTCACCAAATAGCTTACAGTACTTGAACGACAGGACCGGATTTAAGCATATGCGACATAGGCACTCTCTAGGGGCCCGTACCACAGCTACAAATAATTACACTAGTATTTTTTTTACTACCAAAGTGTTTATCGCGTAAGATGATAGGCCTAATTACCCATATTTCTGCGACAGCAAATGTTTTTAGAATTCTAGATGGCCTTCAAAGGTTTAAGATAATTATTAATATAATTTAAGATAATTAAGATAAATAATGCGCGCTAATGCTAAACCAATGCTGGAGGAGGTCGCTTTCTACGCGGCCGAACTATAATAGCAGACGAAGCGTTATAATTTTCACAGGCCAGACAATACAGAATGTTTAGCACAAATTCCCTTGAAAATAAACATTCTGTATCTAATGTTTGACTTATAAGGGGGAGGACCTCTAAACCCTCCAAACTGCAAGCCTGGGTCCGCACGCCCTGTTGAACGGTCCAGCACACCATGTACAAACAAACACACAAGTTGTGCATAAGATTTGAACGAATCAGCTGATGCAGACGCAGCGCTCTGATTGGTCAGTAGAGACGCCAGCGTGTGTATATAAGGCTCAGCTGACTGTCACTGTATCAGATATTTCCTTCAACGAAACATCAGACTACTATTATCATGGGCAAGGAGAGGACCAATGTCATCATGGCCGTCGTCGGCTACTACTAGATTCTCACATCAGGTAAACTTGTAAAGAAAATCTTTAACAGTCTAAATATTGCACAGTATAACTTTTCAACACTAAATTGCACGCTTTAACAAAACTATTAGTTTAATTTTAAATTATAAAATTATTATAGTAAATCTTCGATGATACTATCGGGGTGCAAATTTAAGTTCTCGTAAAAGCAAACGCTAACTTGAATATAACGCAATTTTACATCTTTTCATTTAATATTAAATGCATGAAAAACTTAATAATAGAAACATACAGTAGAGTATTAATTACTTTTTTATTTCGCTAAAAAAAACCAGTTCCAAAATTGAAGCGTAAAATAACTGAACAATCGTCTAAAATGATCACTAAAACATTACTCATCATTTAAATTAAGAGCAGAGCGGATACGTTAAGGTCCCTCGGTGAATTTTATTTATAGGCACTCTTTTCGTTTAACAATATTTGCCAAGATATAATAAAGAAAAAATATGCAAATGCATGATTATTTTATTAACATTGATTGCATTCATACTCCTTTGTAACTTTCTATAAAAGCCCGTTAGGTAGAATAATTATTCAATACATTAGAACATTTACTTCAGAACATTTACATTAGAATATTTACATGTTGCTGCCTTACTTGATCTTAATCCACATAAATTGAAGTTTTACTTTTTCAATTTTACAAAAATAGATTATATTTATTGTAAACGTTCAATATTAAATATTTTATTACTTCAGTGTTTTTCTTTTGTGCCTAGAGATAGGATTACAAGTAGATACACTCCAAATCCAAAAACTAGATCAAACTAGTTTTAAAACATTTACTTGTATTCTATAAATAGAAGTCTAGAAAAGGTTTTGAATCTCTAAGTTGTTCGATTAATTTGCAGTTAACCCAGTAATCCTCATTATTACATACTAGACCAGGAAACAATTTTAAGTAAGCTCTGAAAAACACCACATTGTCCTGTATCAAAAGATTTAGCTTTTTACTGCACACATTATTTATTTATTATAAAAATACAATAACATGGTTATAAAAATAATTGTAAAAAGTGTATTCGGAACAAAACGCAAAAAATCTATGACGAAGCTATATCACACTAATTTAATTATTATAGATAATATCAATATTTAAAAATAAGAAAATCTTAGAAAATTTATATAAAAACTAATAACAACTCAACCTTGCGAGTTCTCTCATCCAGTGAATTTATCAACGTATATGCTTTTCTTTAATTATTCAACGTATTAGCTTTGAGTATTGATACAACTGGTCATTTCTGCATCTGTGATAATCTGATACTAATGAGAAATGGAACATCAGCAACAAAAATCATTGATAGTTTCCAATTGGTACGTAAACACGTTTTTTGATAAGTACTATTTTAGAATATGTTTTTTGATAATTTTGAGCAAGGATTGCCTGATTTCATTTTTATACTGCTGGATATTAATTTATCTTTTAAAAAACTATTTATCTCATGATATCCCTTGGAACTAAATTATTGAATAGCTAAATTGCAAGTACCTATACTAACTATAACTATATGACAACTATATTGTAACAATATTGCAAGGTAATAAATACTTAATATTAATAAAATAGTCTTGCTTGTTCTGAGTGTACTGAGATGATATATGATCGGTGAAACAGATATTGAACAGCAGAATGTTGTTAAACAAATGCACAAACTTTCAGTTTTATAATAATAGCGATATCATAACGATAAATGGTTGTCTAGACTTATGGAGAAAAACGTGTTGCAAACAAGTTAATAGCTGTGTTTGATTTGATTTAGTTCAACAACCTTCAGTTCTCACATATGTTTATGGTAAAGAATTTGTAACTGGAGGCTTGACAGTAGCATCAACTAGTTATTATATTGAACGAGGTGTTAGCCCGTCCTACGTACGGGAATTCAGTAGTCAGTTAAAACCGTGTACAATTCAGATCAGCTAGTTTACACATAATAAAGACAAAGTTTCTTGCAGTTTTAATGTGAAAAATCATCTTGTAAACAAATGTTGTGTGACCAAATATGTTTTTACTCCATCATAGGCCTATACGAAATGCATTTTAAATCCGGTAATTTTACAATAAAACAGCAATAATTCTGCAATTTTTACGATGTGAAAAGCGTTGAAGTGAGATTTGCAGCCGATTCGCACAGACGCACACTGATTATAAGTAGCCTACAGTAGAGAGAGTAAGTCAATTGAGAAGTGTATAGACTTAGTCAACAATACCACCTTCCATAGCATACCTGCCTCTTCCATAAATATTATCACCACAATACAACTACTATACACAATTTCCAGTAGGTCTGAATAGAAATAAAGACCTAAAATAAAACGATAATATCCAATAAAATTCACAGTACACATAAATCGTCACACCTATCCTTTATATCAATTTCACAGCATTAATTGCTAAATAAATAAGTGTAAACAAAGAAAAGTAAAAACAATAACAGTTTGTTTTGAAACAGCTGTTTGGTTCAAATAACATTAATTTGGAAAAAAAAGAACTCACGATTACTAAAAGAACTGGTCACATGTAGCAGGAATATAAAAAGCAAACACGCTAGTAAAGCTAATGACGTAATTGTAAATGTTTATCATCCATACCGTTATCAGTTCTATCCTTAATAATTACCTACCCTCATTGAATAAGTGTACATCGAAATTTAACATATTAGTTCATTTAAACTACAAATATATTCATAGTTGAAATAAAAGTGATATTTTCACGTTTGGGGGCGCTGATAGGCACCCCCAAACGTAACCACACTGAACACGATTTCATAAAAGGATGGTTTGTCTAATTGCAGTATCCTAGGTCAATGTTGACATTGTGTTCAATCATTGTATAAAACTCGGCTGAGGTTGTGGTGGTAATTTAAAATCGTGATTCCTGATTATTCTTGATCTTCTTTTTATGACATCAATATTTCCGGGCCTAATCCAAACAAAGTTAAAGCAGACAAACATTAATTGTAAACAAAAAGCTACCATGAAGAATTAAAACATGTAAACCTTGTTATTTTTCTAATCTTTCCTTGAAAAGTGGAGCAGTAAAATAATTTGCATTTATCGTTTTTTATTAAGACTCATGTACAGAGCCTCGATTTGTACTGTGGTTTAATTAATTTTGGTCTAAACTATTTTAAACTGTGGTCTAATTATCTCTACTAATCTTACTTATTTCCTATAATCAATGACAAAATAAGAGTAAATAAAATAACCTCATAGTTCCATAGTTTATATTTAACCAGCTGTTAGTTAAAACAAATTATATTGCTCTAAAACAAATAGAAGATTACAAAGATTGCTTTAAAAAAATAATTTGAACATCCTAGTATTTTACTATATATAATTTAATTAATCTGTCATCCTCTTACAGAAGAATTGAACGTATCAATGATTTGCATTGCACATAGTATAAATAAGTCAACCCTATGTCTTTACATTTTTATACATATGCTGAATTAGTGACACAAAAGCTGAATGTTTACAGCTGTTATGTTAAGCAAATTATTTCATGCCAAAAGCTAGTTTAGAATCTTAGCGTCGGCTGCTAGACTTTTTAAAAATTAAAACTTAATTTCTAAAAAACTGGGACCCTAAACTAAATTTATGGCTCCGACATTCCCTAGTTCTCAAAATTATCTTTCTTTCAACACAAAAATCATGAAAATCCGTCGAGTGGTTGATTCAGAATCGTGAAATAAAAAAACACTGTTTCGTTTTAATATTATAGATAACAATACTTGGCCATTTTACTAATTCTATTCCTAAATGATTTTTACGAGTTTATTTAGGTGGTTAGGTGAAAGGAGAATAGCAAAAATTATACTAAGAAGTGGTGGGATGGATAGAGTAAAATACTGTGTAATTTAATTAGGCTAACATATTTATTACATCTGTATAACTATTTTAAAGATGATGGAGGGCTAGTACAACATGGACACGTCTCGGCTTCTGTACACGGACACGACTTGGACATGGACAACACGATGCTACGAGAACTTACGTAGCCTATTATCGAATTTTCATTTGGCAGACTTCTGTTCTTTGCAAAATGTTCTGTAAACTGTTAATTAATAAACAACTCCCAATCTGAAACTTGAATTTTTCTTGTTCCTATAATGGTTTTATGTATACTAATAAATCTTAATATTTTATATATTGTCTATCTTATTTATCACTTTTATTACTGTAGTTCTTATATTTGACAACTGAGATGTATAATTGTAAAAATGTGTACCTATTCAGAAAATAAATTATAACTTATTACTTATGGTTAAAGCGAGACAACCCCCTTTTAATGTGAATGTATTTTAAAAATTGATTTTGATTCTGATTATTAATATGGACGACAGTTAAACGAATATTAAACTGTTATAATGGTAATTTTAGCTCTGTATATAATTTTAAATGTCTCTATATAGTAAATACTATAATATTAACTCAAAAGGATTTAACAGAGCATCAGATAGACGATGTTGTACACAATGCTTTGGAATTGTGACCATGCAAAGAGAGGTATTTTTTTGTAAATAAAAAGAAATACTTAGAATAATAGGCTAGTTAGTGCTTAGTAAAACATGTTGGTTTACGAATGTATATTATTTATAGTTACTTAAACTTAATTATACATGTCATTGGTGATGGAAAATTATAAATAAATAATAAAACCTTGCAATAAAGCATAAAACGAGTAATAACCGACTCAAAGTGCCACATATGTTGAGATTACTTAAATCCCATGTTTCCAATGTGAAGATGAAAGTTTTTTACGAGGAGGCGAGTATGGAAGGTGAGGAGGTGAGTACGGAAGGTGAGGAGGCGAGTATGAGTGGTGGGAGGAATAGAAAGAGAAAGGAGTTACATAGAGAGTGAGAGGAGAACAGACCTGCTATGTTCCTGTCAGTTATACAGTATGTTGATTGTTGATACAGGTGATTGTTGTTTCAATGAGAAGTAGTTGAAAGAGTGCTTATTTTAAATTTAATTAAACTAGAGTATTATGAATAGTTGAAATATTATAAGGTTCCTGTAGACTACTGGCAACATTAACCAGGTGGGTAACAATAAGAGATATACAGAGATTTATATTTAATTTTATTTTATAATGGATTTAATTTATTAAAAATTAATTAACTAGATCTGCTAGGAAATTCTCATTCGCTTAATTTCACATAAAGAATTTAATATGAATTTTTTATCATTAAACTAGTTTTTAAGTATTGTAGTAGTTTTAATTGATGAGTAACAAGTTCCCAGGTTGAATAACAAGGAAAAGAAACTCTTCGACCTTAATTTTATGTTGTTTGTTGTTGTTCCGGATCGGTGTGACAATCAATAAAAGGTTAAATTACCTATGTCCGCCGGTCGATCCTGATGTATCCTGTAGTAGGCCTACCGTGTATTCATGTGTTTTATTCGTCATGTGTAAGTGTAAAGTTCGTGTATATGTGCCTCCAAAACTTCAATACGCACCTAATGGGGAAACTCATGAGCTCCTAACCTTATATTAGGACTGATGATGGCGATTTCATTTCGCCGAAATGCATCTCCTGTAATAGGATACATCAGCATCAACCGGCGGACACAGGTAATTCAACCTTTTATTGATCTTCTACCTTCAACAATACTATTTTTTGTGAGACAAAATAAAATATAGAGTCTTAGTATGTTTGCTTAGGTTTGCAAGACTTAAATAATTTTTAAACTAATAAGTTAACTCTCATATAATTTTTAGTGTATTTACCTTTGCATCCCAAAACACCAGAACGCAGTTTCCAACAAATAGTTTAATTAAGTTGAAAAAATAATTTTTTTATGTTTTTTTTTTTTTGCAAACTATTAATTCATTTCAATAATATTATCTTCAGTTTCATGTAGGATCGAAGTACTTGCACACAACTGCTTACATTCATCACTTAGAAAAATGTTTTTACAGTGCTATTGAATAAAAAAAAAACACCCCTTAGTGAAAGTTAGAAGTAATTTGTTTTTAAGCAAGTACCGCACACAAAGAGGAGGTCATCCTATCAGTGAATGCCCTGAGAGTCCTGACCTTCCTCATTCATAAGAATGTCCTTCATAAAGTACTGTAATGGACCAGCTAGATGAGATGTAGTTCAAGTAAATTCAAAACTATTATATCTCCTGCTCATTAAGGACACCATAGATGATAGGAACTATACTGGTATTCTCCATTTTGAAATTCTCGATAAATTACATTCCCATTGTAAACTTTTGATTAACTAAGTTTCCTGCACCATACACTAATGTAAAATTTAGTTTCATAAAACCCCAAATCATGAGTTAGAGTAGGAGAAGTTTTATTTACCCAATCCCTAGCATGCAAAATAATATCAATTCACAAAGTTTGATCCTGGTGAATATTTTTAGAGATGATTTGTTGGAAGATCCCGATAGTGTTGGTGTGTACAGTCTGGGCCAGACTGGCATCTTCAGGCTGTGTTGTGAGGGATGTATTTGGTAGCTACCAGGGAGGGACTGTCCACAGATACACCCTCAGTGGTGATAACGTAGAGGTCCAGGTGATAGACTACGGTGCAACTATCACCAGTGTCCGAGCCCCTGACAGTCACGGCCTCCTGGAGGACATCATGCTGGGCTACGACAATCTGGAAGGTGAATACAACGTACAATGTAGTTGTTGAGTGAGCACTTATGAGTTACCTATATGCGTAACAAAGTGGAGCAAGGAACTAAAAAGTGGGTGAGGGGTAGTGGTCCTGGGTGCCAACCTATCAAGTACCTCTTGAAATTTATGTGGCGTTTTTGGACTTGAAAATTACCTGAGGTACCAAATGTTTAGGCCCCTCTAGCCTAAGGGTAGTAGGGCCCCAACCGAGGGGTGTCAAATAAAATCCGCCTCTGGTATCAAAAGAGCCCTTGCTACATCACTGTGACCTCTACTTATATACTTGCCCTACTTATGATGTAAATTGTTTAAGACCCCTGTAATGGCCGCTATTCAGCAGTGCATGTATTATTGTGTCAGCCAAAAATTGCCACAGTAAAATGTGGGTTTTATCAGCTGTTTTAAATATTTTATATTTTTGTCAGTATCCTTGGCACAGACTCACAACATCCCTCTCCTCATGCATCGTATTACAACAGCATAAGCTCACAACAGTTTGCCTATAGGTACATTACTTAACTGGCACAATTTCATCAGTTAGTATATGTGTTATGATTATGCATGTGCATGAATGCTCTAGCCTTGCTACGCCACTAGTATCAAATAAATCTTTAGTCATACTCAGGACTACTTGAAAAGTACTGGTATGGATCATAAACATAAACAAATTACGTTTTTGGCCCGAAATAAACATGATTTAATATTGCTTAAAATGAACTGCCAAAAAATATGGTAAATGCTATTAGCATAGGATTTGGACCAACAACGTCAATTGTTTATGTTTATGATCCATACCGGGTTTTTTCTATTATTCGTGGTCATACTCTTTTCAGTCCTTTCACAATATTTAGGTGGTTTTATGGGTTTAAATTTATCCTCATCTACCCTTGATCATTACCTTACTTTAAAACAAGCTCAACAGCTGAGGTTTTCCAAATTTCAATCAGCTGCAACACATATAGGTACTTTGAGCAAATAAAGTAGTGGGGGAATTGCCCCTCAAACCGCCTACCTACATTTTGTGAAGCGCATACATTATAGCGCATATATAGTCAAAGCTTTGAACTTTATGGGCTTTTGATTCAAGTGAGCTATATAGTTCTTTAATTTTTATAAGTATTTTCCTATAACTATCTAAAGCTTTTTATTTGGTGTACAGGTTACTTTAACACTGACAACCCTTACTTTGGTGCAACTATTGGCCGAGTAGCAAACAGGATTGCTAATGGGCATTTTACATTGAACGGTGTTGAATATAACCTGTTCCGCAACAATGGAAATAACACTCTACATGGAGGATTGATTGGTTTTGACAAGGTAAATGATTTTTATTTATTTTATCTATGATTCTAACCAAAAAAAAAAAAAAAAAAACAACAGCCTCAGGAATACAAAATCTCCATAAGAAGTGTGAACTTCAAGTATTCATTATTAGCTCAGTGGGCTAAAGCCGTGAAGCTGCAGTCATAGCATCCACTATCAAACATACTGTGGTACGAGGTTTTTTAAACACCCTAATTTTAAATTGTCTACCCACTTACCCTTAAGCGACGTTCACTTATAATTTGATTAATAATAATCTTAAAAGTCTTTTATCTTTACATTAAATGTAATGATATGACCAATTATGTGAATAAATTCTTGCCCTTTTCTTTAGAATTATTTGAAAATGAACAATTTTACTCTAGTTGGTATTATGTTTCTAGTGTCTCACAAGGGTATGCATGGTTTGTGTAGAAGCTATGGTCCAGCTGGATGGAGGGGGAGAAGGTGGTCATGGAGTACACCAGTCCGGATGGAGAGGAAGGATTCCCTGGGGAGGTGAAGGTGCAGGTCATATACTGGATGTCAGGAGACACACTGATGATAGAGTACAATGCCACCTCAACTAAGCCAACACCCATCAACCTCACCAGCCACAACTACTTCAACTTGGCGGGCCAGGTAGACTGTAGACAATAGACATCCCATCTGTATGATCCAGATATAGACAATTTTAATTTTAATTAGAATGTACTCGAACATACTCACTTCCCCAATTAACTGCCACTGCCAAAATTTTGTTTTCTCTTTTATTTTTAGATGCTGTGTATTGCTATGTTGCCATTTAAATGGTAATTTGTTCTTTAAAAAATGTATACAAAAAAATTTATTTTTATTTAACTTTAAGGCCAGTGGATAAACCCTGTTTTTTGTTTTTTTCCTTAGGTGTAAAAATAAATAAGTTTTTAGGCGTCACGTGAGCACTCATACAGCTGTCCGGGAGTTCTTACACTTTTATTATAAGGTCCCTACGGCTCATTTGAACTTTGAAGTGGATTTTTAATTGTAGTAGTTGAACATATTGTTCTCATAATTATAGAAAAATGTTCAATCTCCCTTTACAATAAAACTTAGAAATGGAATATCTAAGAAAGTATAAGAAAGAATATGGAAGAAACTAGTGTACCTGTTGCTCGAATTCGAGCAATTGCTGAGTATTACAGGCGTTATTTTAAAACGAATAACAGTCTTAATTTATGATGACTTTAAAATATTCGACTCAAAGATTATGAAAATACTCAAGATGTACAAAACAGATCGATATAATCAACATTTAATGTAAATAGTGTTTTATACAAATAGTCTTACTCATAGCCACAATAGGTTTCCAGACACGTGTCCAAAACCCTAACAGCACGACTCCCTTCCCCATACCGCCCTGAGCGATAGGTATAATTGAGATTCGCTCTAACCTTTCCTCTCCCCTTCACGGGCAGGTTTTCATTCCTTTTCTTTCTTAGTTTTTGTTTGTTTCTTTCTTAAATTTTAACGCCTGCGTATGTATCCCTGGTTTTTCCTATTGCCTTAGCTACTTTTCTAAACGTCTTAATTGTTTCCTTGTCATTCCATGTTTTATTTTCTCATCTCTAGGCCTATCTTATCCAAGACTTATTCCTGTTCTCTCCTGTTTGTCTCCTGAATTGAACAATTTATAAATACGTGACTCGTGGTTTTTATTTCTCCACATCTACATACTTCCTCTTCCACCAGGTGAAATCTTCACAAATTCGCCTTGAAATATTCCATGTCCTGTTACAAACTGCGTTTCATAATGACCCATCTCCCAATCTTGTTCCAGTCTCTTTCTGATGTTAGGAATATATAAGAACGTTTAACTTTAAAACGTTAACATAAAACACTCTGCTCCCAACGCATTTGCCAATCATCTAATATCTCCTCTCTTCTGTTTTCGATGAAGTCATACCCGCCTCCTTGTCTTCCAAAATCAACAGCTTATGCAGCGATTATCCAACAGTCCCAAATTGAATGTGAAATCTTCAGGCGGCTGTTGGAGAGCACACTTAAACCCAACACGGAAGGGTGCTTGCTGTATTCGGCTATCAACGACAATAGTATTATTTGTATTTCGCTCTCGTCTACCAGTTAAAATTTGTCGACCTCCTCCTATTGGCCGTCCAGGTCAACGTCTTACAGTCTCCATTATGTCAAATGGTTTTTTGGTTATGTTTAGATTTTGTGCAAAATTTTACCATAACCAGCTGATTCAAATATTAGTGTCAATTTGAAGGTATTCATTTGTTCAAATGTAAACAAACATTTACTCCCTAAGAATAACATGGGAAATTTGAAGGCTACTGGGGCAGAGCCCTGATGGAATTCCAAAGTTTTTTTGTTTGATGGCAAAACTACATGCTTAAGACCTTTCTAACGACACCTTGGACAAGGTGATCGGTAGCACCACCACTCCAAAACAATGTTGACAAAAATATGCCTAGCGTATTAAATATATAGATTCTGTATGGGTAGTCTTTAGTCTATATGGCTATATTAAAATATTTATAACAGCCATAATCTTCACATATCCAAACTGAACTTTATTTGTCCTAATATATAGTTTTGAATAGACTATTTGATTTAATATTTTGATTTCACAATTTATAACCTGTGAATATTTGTACAGTAGACTCCCTCTCATCTGTACACCTTTTAACCGGACATCGGTTTAACCGGACTACAGTCGACGGCTCTTTATAACTGGACAATTATTATCGGCACATTGGTTTAACCGGACTAGATCGGCAGGAAGTGAGTGGTACTGTAACGACTGTTCTCGTGGGAAAGATTTGAGACCAGTGATCACATGTCTAAATACAATGCTCTCCTAAATTTAAGTCGAATATCACTGTAAACGGTCCATTTTAATGAGTTTTTGGGGATGTCGGCTTAACCGGAAAAACCGTTATCCGACTGGCCTCGGTCCCAAGGAGTCTGGATAGGAGGGAGTCTACTATATTCCATTGAGTGTCTGCTTGTTTAGTGTAGTACTTTTGCAGGGAGCTGGCCCTGAGGGACTGTATCGTCATATCATCTCCATCAAGGCAGACACCACTACAGAGGTTGACTCACAGTTTGTACCAACAGGTTAGTTGAGAGTTGTGATCAGCATAACATGTTGCAGCATGTCAACCCCAACATTGGCGTCTTAGTATGAGTTCAATAACGAATTGCTCAGTCGGATCAGGGTTTTAATTCGATACTACATATTTTGGGAATTATAATCAGGGATATATTTCCCTAACTTTCTAAAACAACTCAATTTTGCCCCGCACTGATTTTGGCCCGAGATCTGAAGCAATTTTGATCCAACTCTAAGTAAAAAGGTCTGGTTCACAGACCCCTGATACTAATATCTAAAAATATAACAAAATTATTGATTAAATAGTCCTAGGTCCATTGGAGTAATCAGTGTCTTTGAGACATGAAACAATCCCTTGCCTGGTCAAAAACAGGCATATATGCAAGGGGGTATTTTGGATTTAGCAGGAAACCAATATTCTCAAATTCGATAGAATCAAATTATTTGCTCAATAAATTTTAACATAAGAAATTAGATCAAAATTACCACACATTTACAACTCTCCCTTTCTCTCCGTTTGTCGGTTTCAGGCAGACTCAGCCCGGTGGCTGGGACACCCTTGGACCTCAGACAACCCATGCAGCTTGGGAGAGTCATCCATCACACTCCCATTGACGGCTACGACTACAACTACGTTCTACCTCATACCGGGGCTGGAGTCATCGCTATGTAAGAACACAAGACACAAAATATCTAGATCTGTAAACAACATTTATACATTAAACTTACTATTCAAGTCTCTTTACACTAGGCATGACTCAATCTCTTTGGAAGCTCAGTATTGGTTCGTGTGTTGTCCAGTGTGGAAGACCCTGTGAGTGGCCGAAGACTGGAGGTGGAGACCACACAGCCAGGTTTGCAGTTCTACACATTCAACACAGAAAAAGACATCCAAGGAAAGTCCCTCTACACTAGACATGCTTCAATCTCTTTGGAAGCACAGAACTTCCCAGATGCCATCAACCATGTAAGTGACAGTTGATGTTGTTATTGTTATTGATAAGGTTATTGAACTTGTTGATACTATAATTGCAGTTGTTGTGAACTTTATTGAATATGTTTTCACTTCATTGATTTTCCTTTTGATCTGACTGTTATATTTTTTCTAAACTACTGTGTTTTGTTTTCCCACCACATGTTAAATATTTTGTATTGAATTAATTTAATTGTTTGAAGATTCAAGTTAAGACTTTGGAATAAATAAAGAAGCCTACTAATCTGTTTGTGAAATAATTATTTTATCATTTCTGGTAATATTTCAAGATTCAAAACATTTTGGCGACCGTGACAGGACCTTTTCTTTAATTTAAGACATCTGGGTTATTTAATAGTTTATAACAATATGGAAGGCCTAAAAAATATGAAAAAGAAAAGATCACAGATTAGAAGGCTATTCACCAAGGTTTATAATGAACTGGAAGAAGCATTTAATAATGAAGACCTGTCAATGAATGATAAAGAAACTCAAATAAAAGTAAACTTTTCTCAAATTGAAGATAAAATAACAGCATTAATGGCAATGGATGGAAAAATCTCTGATGAAATGCTGATGAAAGATGCTTCTGATGCTGATCTGGGACAATGAACTGGACACACAAGAATACAAGAAGAAATGGTACCTGATGAAGGCTAAGTATGAAATGTTTCTTAAAACACCTACCAACAATGGTGAGTCAAACATTTACAGACCAAACCGTAACTTTCATTTGCCTAAATTGCAATTACCTTCATTTGATGGGGATGTTAGGAATTGGATTGGGTTTTGGGGTCAGTACAAAAAGATCCATGAAGATAGTGAAATTAAACCTGAAAACAAATTTCAATATTTAATTCAATCCTTGAAACTTGGTTCATCAGCTAGGGAATTAATAGATTCTTTTCCTCCTTCTGGTGAAAATTACATCAAGGCTATTGAACAATTGAAATCCAGGTTTGCACGTGATGAACTTTTGATTGAAGTTTATGTAAGAGAATTACTAAATTTAGTTTTGAAACAAGCCAACAAACAAAGTATCATGCCACTTTCAACCCTTTCTGATAAACTTGAGACTCAACTTCGTGCCCTAGAAACACTCGGGGTCACATCAGATAAGTATGCTGCCATGCTATACCCACTGGTTGAATCTGCTCTACCAACTGATACTCTCAGAGCATGGGAGCGGTACAGAACAACAAACAAAATAGGCTTAGGTGAGTTTAAAGGTAGCGAGTCATCTAATTCAAATTATTTACAGCTATTGTTGAATTTTGTACGTTCTGAGGTCGCAAGCGAAGAACGTTTAGCTCTTGCTCGGAACAGCTTTGCAGTCGACAGAGACATTACACCAAGTGACGAGCCACAGAAGAGATCTTACCGTCACCAACGTCCTGGTATGAAAAGTGAGTTTGAGAAAGGACTACCTTTACCTACAGCATCTACAATAGTTGCTACAGACAGCTCTTCAGGGGTGAGTAAGCCCACATGCTTATTTTGTAATAAAGGAAATCACAACACTCAAGACTGTTCTGGGTTACAAAAGCTTACTTTAAAAGAAAAGAGAGAGTTTGTGACAAAAAAGAGAGCTTGTTTCTCATGTTTAAAGTTAGGCCACAGCAGTAATAAATGTAAAGTTTTTGTATCCTGTGCCATCTGTAAAAGGAAACACTACTGCTTAATGTGTCCTAGTTTAGAGAAAATGGTGCACAGTAATACTCATGAAAATGATTCTAAAAAATCAAATGACATTGAAAGTGTGCAAATTAATGACAAATCTGAGTCCTTGATTGCAAATCAAAATAAGGAAACCTTATTGCAAACTCTTCTAGTAAAAGTAATAGGACCTGACCAGCAATCTTTACTAGTAAGAGCATTGTTGGATTCTGGATCTCAAAGGTCTTATATCTCTAAGGACTGTGTAGAGAAACTTAAATTAATAGAATCTGGTGAGGAATTAATAGTTCATGGTTTGTTTGGAGGTATTAAAACTAAAGAGACTCCACATAATCTTTACCAAGTAGAGTTACATGACACAAAGGGTAAATTTGGCATTTCAGTTAATGTGCTTGATCAAGACAAGATTTGCAATTACATACCCAGATTAGTTACAAAAAGGTATTTTCCCATTATAAAGAAGAAGAATATATACCTTTCAGATATTGGACAAGATGCAGCAGAAGAAATAGAGTTACTACTAGGAGCTGATATCTTGGGCCAACTTCTCACAGGTAAAATTGAACAGCTAGATCACACTCTGGTTGCTGTTCAGACAGTGTTAGGATGGACAGTAATGGGACAATGTGGAAAAGTTACCAGTCACTTATTAGCATTAGTTGTTTTGCTAAAATGGACATTTCAGATCTATGGCATTTAGATGTTTTGGGCATCACTGATCCATCAGGTAGTAAAACAAAGGAGGCGAATGCATCAGAAGTCTTGGAGCATTTTAACAAAACTATTGTAGTAAATAGTGAAAATAGGTACGAGGTGACTCTTCCATGGATTGAAGGCCATCCAGAGCTTATGGACAACAAAGTTACAGCCGAGAAGCCACTACATGCAGTGACCAAGAACTTGATTAAGTTAGAAAAGTTCAATGAGTATGATCAGGTATTTTCAGAGTGGTTGAATTCAAACATTATTAAAAGGGTTGTTGAGTCCTCTGTAACTGGTAGACCTGTACACTACTTACCTCATCACGCTGTGGTCGAAGAATCCAGTTTGACTACTAAGGTTCGACCAGTCTTTGATGCTTCTGCAGTCGATAGTAGAGGGAATTTTCTTAACTCTTGTTTGGAAAAGGGACCTAATTTAATGGAACTAATTCCAGCTCTTCTAATGAAGTTTAGAAAACACCCAACAGGCGTTATTTCAGATACTAAGAAAAATTTCTTGCAAGTAAGTTTAACAGAAAGTGACCGAGACATTTTAAGATTTTTATTGAGGGAGCGACTTATTGGAGTGGTAAAGGAAATTTTACGACGAAACTTGAGAAATTCATCAGTCACGCAGGAAGAACTCTCAACAATTTTGTGTAGTAACTGTAAATTCAGGACCTTTGACTTATCTTTCAAATGATGATGACTGTTTACAACCATTAACTCCAGGCTTATTCTTACAACCAACATCAACATCTGATTTACCAGATTTGGATGAAATTGAGTGTCTAAGTTTGAATAAAAGAGTGTGTTATATAAACAAATTAAGAAGATCACTAAGAGACAGGTTTAAGAAAGAATATTTGGCTACACTCGTTCACAATGGAAAAAACAAGACAAGTAGAGAACCCATTATTGGAGAAGTTGTATTGATAGGAGATGATAACACAAAACGAATAAGATGGCCTTTGGGGTTGGTACAAGATGTATATCCAGGAAGAGATGGATTCTCCAGAGTCGCAAGACTAAAAACTGGAAATGGCATTTTGACAAGACCACTACAAAGACTTTTTCCATTAGAAATCACAGCTTGTGAAAAAGAGTGTATGAAAGAAAATAAACCACTTGAAGAAGAAGAAGTAGTTGAAAACGAAGTTCTTTGATTTCGCTAAGAAGAAAACCAGATGTGGAAGAGAAGTAAAAGTGCCCCAGCGATTTTACTGATTTAAAATTGCACATAATTGTTTAGCAATTTTAAATGGGAAAGGATGTTGTGAACTTTATTGAATATGTTTTCACTTCATTGATTTTCCTTTTGATCTGACAGTTATATTTTTTCTAAACTACTGTGTTTTGTTTTACCACATGTTAAATATTTTGTATTGAATTAATTTAATTGTTTGAAGATTCAAGTTAAGACTTTGGAATAAATAAAGAAGCCTACTAATCTGTTTGTGAAATAATTATTTTATCATTTCTGATAATTATTTCAAGATTCGAAACAGCAGTAATTCTCTCCATATATTCGTATAAAGCCTCTACAGTTCTTGCTATATGTAACTGATTTTAATTACTTACTGTGCTTCTGTTCTGCCTGCAATGCAAATCTCATATTGAGTCACCATCAAGTGCCTTTCTTTATACAAAAGATACTATGAATTTAGGGCCTATCTTTAAAATGTGCTTTAACTTTGAATATTGTATAAAATTATGCATCACTGTGAACATGTAAAATACTCACCTGACTTGTATTCTTATTGTTACTTTATGTTTTCCACATTCAGATGATTAAAAGGTCCTGTACTCAGTGGATATGAGAGGCTCTACCACAATATAGTATGGTATAAGAGAATCTCCATATCATTCAATCAAAACTGAATTTTTTTTCAAATGAATTCATTTTGTGAAACACTATTACCACTTAAAAAGTGTACTTTTCATCACTCTGTATATACAGCTCATTTTTGTACAGCTCTGTATCCAAAAACCGTGGATATCCAGTCAGCAAAACATACAATTTTACATTTCCTAAACTTTACTTTGTCTTACCCAAACATTTTTTGTCTTTCCCAAACAGACGTTTCATTTATAGCCCAGTAACTTAAGTTAAAAATCAAGGCCAACAAAGACATGATAGATGTAAAGCTGATTTTTTGCATGGTGATAGTGTATGATAGGAAGGGTGTTTTCTGAAAGTTCCCCGAATTTCCCCCCCTTGCTTCCCCTTAAAACCCCCCCTCCCCCAAAACACCAGGTTGAAAGTGTAGTGTTTTACTAAATCACCTATATCTTTTGATGTAAACGAGCTATCAGCATAATTATTTTTTCTTTGAACTCCCCGTAAAATTTACTTTAATAAAATAACCTTACATGTAGCATTATCTCTATTGGGTGGGTTTATATCTGCGATTTAACAAAAAATATTATTTTTTACATAAAATTGTAGATTAGGTCAAACCCTGGTTTTTGCAGTAGGTCGTACGTCAATGTGTTTGAAACAAAACTTTTTACCTATTTTATGAGCTTTCCAAAAATGTATAACAATATATATTTTAATTTAAGTTGTTACCGAATGAAGCTATTTAAATCCATGCTTCACTTAGCACATCATTC